GTCAAAGGTGACATGTCATGAAAAACCTAAAAATTTGACCAATGACCTCCCTTCTCAAAAACTAAGCTATTCCATAGCTCCCAACGTGAACTTACTATTTTATCTAATTTGTTAGCCACTAATTTAGACTTGTTGGCCGATTTTTTCATCTTAGCATTGATCCCTTTCTGATGTTCTAAATCAGCTAATTTAACATTTCTATACTCCCATATAAAAATTTTAAAGTCAAAAATTAATTTATTAACCAAACCATCTAATAACTTTGTCTTATCTTTATCTAATATTTTATAACTCTTAAATAAGTTAATCAGATCTATATGTATAAAACCTTTTGCTAGCATAGACAAATTATATGCTTTATTAAAGTCCAAAATCCTACAACGCAAGATTTCTTTAAAAATGTCATCAGAATTTACATTTTCCACTTGACTATTAGCTAATATCAGTTCATGTAAGTGTTGCTGAAATTTACCTATCATATTCCAGTTTACTTGTCCTAAATGTTCACATTTCCATAAATGTGTATATGTTTCTTTGTCTTTTAAACACATAGGACATTTCCATTTAGAACTATAAACATGTGGCTTCCTTTTAACTAAATTATCCAGCGTTGGTAATTCTTCTGTCCGAATTTTGACTTTAAATGAATTTAATTCATGTTCTGAAAAATTTGTTAATTCAGTATTACCTTTAAGCACTCTAAACGTACTTGACCAGTCTATCTCTGTAAGCATCTCAGAATTATTCCAACAATCATTTCTGTGTAAGTTGAAAAATTCTTCTATCCATTGAGTTTCCCTTATGTGTTTAATCATAATTGTAACTTCTTTCTCAATAGGGTTATGATTCCAACAAACATTTCCTTTATACATTAAAAGTCTTAGATCGATAAAGACAGGATCTTTATTTAAAGCCTCTTTAGCTAGTTTATCTACTACATTATTGTATTCACTATTGTCATGTGCTTTAACTTTGACTAGCAATACTGTCAAATTAAAAAATTTGATTATTTTGAAACTTAGTATCCACCATGCGTTGTATTGACACTTTTCTCTAGATATCTGTTGTAAAGACTCTTTTTTTAATTGATTGAATATATTAATTATGGCTTGTGTATCAACATATATTGTAATGTTCGCGTCTTTGGGACAAACTAGTAACACTAATATGATTGCTATAAGTTCTGCTTTAAATGCTGACGGATTGTCAGTAATATTAACATTAAATTCAAACTTTTTTGGACTACTGATCAAAAAAGCACTTCCCATCTCAACTGATGTCAGTGAATATTTTTTAAACGACCTGTCTGTATATGCTTCTATATCCTTGACAAATTCTAAACTATCTTTGATCTTTAACAGTTTATTTCTAACACTTGGCGGATGAATAAATGTCAATAAATTAGAAGGGGTCCGATCTGTAACACTATCTACTAACTTCGTGATACTATTATTTTTGGCTTGTGCTAAATATTCAAATACCGACATATCCAATATGTATCTATCATCTATGCTTTTCGCATTGATTTTGACTGATCTGTCAGTATCGTTTATGGTTAACAGGCATCTCTGTTTGACACTTTTCCTTTTACTCTTTGTATGAATTTCTTTTAAATCACAACCTGAACATTTTTTAATAATAGGCAATTGTACAGAAGGAGATATATTATCTACTCCAATATCATGTATCCAATGTTCAACAATTGTACCTTCAACCTCTGTTTCTATAACTCTTCCTAAATACTCGACAGCATTTTTCTCATGATAAAATGCTAACCAGTTACTTTTTTTAACTTCTGGAACCAAGTCTTTACTGATGCACTTGTAATTTCTTTCCATGTGAAATTCACTTTTAAGTCTTCTAGATTAATTCTTTTCCAATAAACACTTCTGTTCTATAGATTTAAACCAACTAGGTTTACGTCCCTTAGTATTAATCCCTAATGTTATTCTTAAATCTCTATAATTTAATAATCGATCACCTCCTGAGGAGATCAGTTGACTAATAAAATATATGCTGTGTTTCATTAACTGTTGGTTCATTCGATTTTTGAATAGTTCATTATGTGTAAAGAAATCAGTTATACTCAATGAACCTCCTCTAATAATATTCTCATCTTGTCCACTACTTCTAAAAGTTAAATTGTGATCATACATTATTGCTAATGTTGCTGCTAAAATGTTATATTTGACCTTAAGATCACATGACTTAATGTTCCATTCCGTCATTAGCGATTTAGTTAAAATCATTTCGGATTGTAACTGTTTATTACGTATCCCTTGTAATAATACCTAATACACCTTGTGTATTGAACTGATTATATAACCTTGTTACTTGTCTTTGTAATTGTATCGTACCAATGTCCTAACTCCATAACCTAATGATAAGTGTATTACACTATTTGGTATAGTAGCAACCAGTGATGTTTTCTGTTTAAACATAGAGCGATATAATTTATTCAATTGTTCTATCTGATTATGATTCCAAATTGTTAACTGTAATTTATATTCAATTCTAGGTATGATGACATGATTGTATATATATTTCATCTGTAGATCAGTAACTCGTTTCTTACGTATAATCCTATTATAATTTCTAATTATATCTTTACATTGATTTAAAACGAATTTCGTGTTTAGGTCTAAATCCTAGAATTCTGACTGATTCTCCCGCCTTAATCAGTTTGATTTTCCTAATCTCTGATCCAAAATTGATATCAATTTCTCCGTCTATAGTTTGTATTTCTTCATTTGTTGTCATTGCAAAATTCTCATAGTTTGTCTGAATATTATTCATCTTATTGAATTCATCTGCTATGTCCAGGATTTTCTCCAGCGTATATTTACTTCCTGTCAACCACGTTACGTCGTCCATGTACGTTTGAGATGAAACAATAGCAGATAATGACTTTTTATGAGGTACTTGTATTTTAGTTTTCCAGGAGTGTTCTATCTTGTATCCCAAACGTAAACTATCAATTTCTGTCAATAGTGGATCGTAATATATCGTCCACAAAAGAGGTGAAATGACCTCCTCTTGATCTATCCCGATTTGCGATGTGAACTGTGGAGTAACACCATTATATCCAATTATAGCTTTTTTACTGTTCACGAATAAGTTTGTAATCAATTGTATCAGTATTTTAGGGATTTTAATTCTGTCCATCGCCAGTTTTAACATCTCCACATCTACCCGGTCATATGCCTTAGAAAGGTCTTGGAACATCAACCAAATGTGTTTTTTGTTGACTTTAGCGTCTTCTATACAGGTATTAATAATCCGTAATGGTGTTTCTGTGAATCCGCCAGGCAATGCCACGTGATTACCACCTTTTAGTATGTTTTTTTCTGCAATTACAGCTGATAACCTTTTCATAATGATCTTAACTAACGTTTTCCTCAACGTCTCTAAGAGTATTATAGGTCTTGTTTTAGTCAACATGTGTTCCCATTCCATAGTCTTGGGTATAGGATACAACAAGGCTTCTCTCCATTCCCCCGGTATATCTCTTATTTGTAAACACATATTTGCTAATTTCAGCGTTAAAGCCTTCATATTGGTACCCAAATGTTTTAACTCTTCATTCGAAATCTTTGATGGACCAGCGGCTTTATCTTTAGCCAACTCCTGTATCGTATCCATCCACTCTTCTTCCGTGATCTCCTTAACAGTAGCATTATACCAGTCTGTGTTAATATCATTTTTTGGTGCATACTGCCTCTGCCATCTATCGCTCATTGCAATTCCATCGTTCATCTTTTTCCCAGCGGCATTTTGATAATGTTCTATCATTGCTTCTGTAATTTCTTTTTCTGTGGAACATAACTGTTTTTGGCTGTCCTTTTCTATAAGAACTTTATCTAGTACTATTTTTTTTCTTTTCCTATTTAATATTGAATCCAGCATATGTTTTTTATTATCTTGTAATTCTCCGCATCATTTATCAACATAGTATTTGATCTGTTCCTCTTTGTATAAGTCATCTTCTTCCGCATATTTGATTTGTGTAATTTTAAACAGATCGATGATCAGATCTTTAAACTCTTTTATATTCATTTTTAGCAGTGGTTTCTTTTGGTTCTGTAGTCTTTGCAGCAATTCCATAATTGTATCATAATATTGTTTGATAAAGTTATATGTGACATCCGGTTTGGTCAAATCTTTGAGTTTTTTATTTGTTAACTTCATCGAAATTAAAGAAAGTTGTCAAAGTTTCTTCTTATAAAAGAAAACAGCTTCTGGTAAATTATCTTTATTCGGATGTGGTTTCTTCGTTGGTAAATGTTTTTTCGCTTTATTTATTATCTGCTTTATAGAATTCCATATTCTATTTAGTATAGTCGTTGTAGGACATTCTTCAATTTTTAACATTTTTAATTCTTCCTCTAGTATTAATTCTGACTGCTCTGTGAATGTCTTCCATTGATCATCTGTAATCTTACTGTAATCGATGACTTTTTCTACTTTATATCTTCTATTCATAGCCATTTGTGGTTTTTTGAAGACATCATCAATGCTAAAATATGACGTGACTGCTGAATGGTCCGTATTGAAAATGTGAACTTTATTCGTTGATGCATATATCAAGTCTGGGATCAATTCAAAGTTCACCCAATTAAAGTCAATTCTTGATGTAATATTGTTACGACGCCATGTTGACAACGGTTTGGTGTGAAATAGCACATTCGTGTCTTTAAATCTATAGTTGTTTAATATTTTAAACAAGCTAAGTTTCCACGGTATTGATAAATTTTTCTGTTGTTTGTCTAGAAATTCTTCATATTTAATATTAAAATCTCCCAAGACTATAATCCGACTTTGAAGTTTACGTTCTTTTTTTATAATGTCATTAATTTTGTCGTATAACTCCAAGATTTCTGTTTTTTGTGTATTATTCGCGTAATTATACACTAAGATTATCAATAAACGAATCTTGCCTTTCATGTACATCGTCAAGTGTATTAATCTTCCTTTGAATAAGTCTTTGGTTTGTACGTGTTTAGCATAAGCTTTTCCATAATAATCTCGACACCAGCGGAATAGTAATTTTCATCATCACACGCCTACCACGAATTATATTCCTTTTCGTTCTGGTATAAATTTTCCATACTGCTATTTTTTAAGTTTGGTTTCTGTTACCCCCAGGATATTAATCTTATTTATTTTCATGAAATTTAATAATTGTTCTTGTTTCAGATTGGTATTTAGTCCTGCCACATTGATTGTCGTTATTTTAAATGTATTGTTGATATCCATAATGCCATCTTTCGCTGGCGATATATTTTGGGTTTGTTGTTGGTATACAATCATTATTGACTATTGTTTGGAGGTGTTGTGTCTTTGTATCCATTATTCGGACTGGTATCTTGACTATTTGGAGTAATTTTGTTCATAAAGTTCTCGAACATGTGGTGCATATTAGAAAGGGATAAAAATGCTGAATCCATTCTTTTCTCAAAGTTATCCAGTCTTTCATTTTCTTTTTTGTCTAATGTCTCTTGTACATCAACCAACATGTCACTGTCTTGTTGTGTCGAAGTTTGCGGCGAGATAGTTGCAGTCATTTGTGTCATTCGTTCTGTCTCGATTGGAGCAGCTTCTCTACTTTGTGTCTCAACGTTAGTTGGCCTGATAAAGATGTCAACTTCTTTATCTCTCACGGTTTCTATTGTTCTGATACGTTTATTATTGCTATTCTTAAAAGTTTCATTGACTGTACCAAAGCTTAGGCTGACTTGTCGTGTATCACTCGGCGCTTTTGAATTGAGAATCTGGACTTTTACGTTCGCGAGCCTGTTGTTAAATTTATTTAACAGGTTGGTGAATTGTTCCATTTTTGCTTCTAGTTTTGTTAACCGGTCTGCTGTACTGGATTGGATGGCATTTTCATTCCATGGCCTTCGTTGGGTTGTGTGTGCGTTCTCTTTTTGTTTCCCTTTGTTATTTACCGGATTTACCTGTTGTTATTTGGCGGCAGATTGTGGGTTATTGCTATTGCTTGAGCCTTGATTAGAATTCATTTTAGTGATGTTCGCATAACTATTTTGTTTATCTTCCCAGTTATCTAAGCCGTCTTCCCAATAATTAGTTAGTTCTTCATATCGTTATTTCGGAAATAGTGGATTAAAACCCCCTTTAGCAGTGGGTGCCTTTACTTGATATCTTTTATAAATTGATTGATAAACACTATGCGTACGTTGCGCTTGTTGGTATTTATTGTTTTCTGGGCAGTTTCTAAGCTTATGGAATGATGATCCACATACATGGCATGTGATTGTATTTTTATCCACAAAATTGAGCCCTTTATTGTTATATGAAAATTTATGTATTTTCGCGTCACCCATTTCTTGTTCAGAATTGAAATAGAACTACGCAAAACGTTCTTTTTCATAATTTCTTGAAAATTTATTTTTGGGTAGGAATATAGCTTTCGCCTTCGTGATATTGGCTATCTCTGCTAGGTCAATGGCACATGTACCACTAGGTAAGTTAGCTAGTTTGAGTACGTATTTGAATCTGTGATTTCTTTCTTCCCTAGATAAAGTGGATGGGAATACTCTGAATACATGTTTACAGAATCTAATTACCCATTCTTTTTTGAAACATTTTTCTAATTTGTTGTCAGCGAATGTTACTGCCACCTCGTAATATAGTTGTTTAATATTAAATTTGATACTCTTTACGTTCCCAATCGAACGTAGGTGTTGCTCAAAAATATCTTTTTCTATATCCAATGGTACATCCCAGATGCGGATTTCATATGACTGTTGATTATCTTGTGCTTGGTTGATCCCTTCAATTTTACAAAATCTAACCTTATTACCTTCAATGATTTGGCGCTCCAAAACTTTCTGAGCTGATTCTTCTGACTCATATGTAGCTTTGATTACTTTAATACCTTTTATGGTTGTAACAACGTATGTCCTCAACCCCGGTACATCTGAAATAATCTGATAAACGTAATTCTTTTTTTCTGTAGGGTTTTGTCCCAGAATAATTTTGAGCAAAAAAAAAAGTTGGAACTGTTTGGCTTTCCCAATAACGGTCCAACTTTGTTGCGGTTGTTTATCTGACTTGTCTAGCGCTGTGCTAACAGTCAGTTTATTTTCCTTATGAGACGGTGCGTGCACGGAGGAGCACAGTCCTTGACCGTTGTTGTTCTCAAGTTGTTGAACTACGGCTTGGTTCAAAGAGAAAGCGTTATTGCTTCCTGACGGTTGTGAAGAGGTAAACTCAACCCCTTCCATCTCTCTCCTTTTATAATATACGAAATAAACGATTTCTTATGGCTTTCCTTATAACTTTTCTATATGTAACTGTAAAATTTTTATTATAAACTGCGGTGTAAGAATTTGTCCTAATGATCGATGGAGAGAATTTTGCAAAATGATTTTTTTATTCGTTAAATTAAAATAAAAAATGTTTCGCAATGCTTTTTTATTAAAATGATTAAAAACTATTACGAAACAGTTTTTTATTTGTTAAATTGAAATAAAAAAATGTTTTGCAATGTTTTCAACTTCGTAATAGGACATTTTGATCTAATCCGATCTGAATTTGATTCAAATCCACTTGAATCAAATCTGATCTGATCTGATTTGAATGAATTGTTGATCTGATTTGATTTAATTCAAATCGAATCAAATTTTTTTGATTCGGATCAGATCACAGATCATAAAATTTATGATTCGATCTGATCTGTCTCAAATCAAATCTGCAAATATGAATCAGATTGGATTTTTTTCAGAACATTATATACAGTATATATATACCAAGTACTTACACACATTTTCCATAGATTTGACAAGAATTCCGGTAACATTTTAAATGTAAGGAACATACTTGTTAGACATTCAAATATAAGCTCTTGCTTAAAGTAATATACTCCAGAGAAAAGTACTGACAAGCTGTATATATATAAAAAATTTTTTACAGACATAACATGTGAGTGATAATAATCATAAACAATTTATCTAACTTAGCTCATGAAACTTACTGTAAACTTGTATTCCATAAACTTTAATTTTTTAGAATTGTTGAAAATTGCCAGGATATTTTATTCTGATATAATTTAAAATAAATTTCAAATTTTTTGCGATTTTATTACGATCATCACCAATGTAATGGCTGTGCTCTGGATATTTCAGAGAACCAGAAACTTTCACAACCAAAAAACTCAAGGTTTACTTCATGTAACTTCATAATAGCATAGTGCTCCGAAACGAGTCGAGTTGACTCACGAGTTGGTCAAGTTGAGTCGAGTTGAAAATTACAATCAAATCGAATTGATTCGAGTCGAGTTAATAATTTAATAAAATTGAGTCGAGTCGAGTTAAGCCGAATTAAACATAATTCCGGCCAAATTTATGGAATTTCCTTTTTTGGAAATTATGTAATACAAAATCTGAGATGAAAAAATTTTGAAAATTACAAAAATGGAATTTTGTGGAATGGCTATCGCCAAAAAAAGGAAATGATCGGCATAGCCGAATAAAATCACATGATTTAATTCGACTCGACTTTGACGGGCCAACTCGACTCGAATCGAGTCGAGTTTATATTTTTATAATTTTAACTCGACTCGACTCGACTCAATTTAACTCAAGTCGAATCGAGTTTACATATAACTCGACTCGACTCGACTCGTTCGGAGCTCTATAATAGCATCTATTTTACTTCCAGAACTGCGCTGATTACTATCTTATTGTGAATTATTAAGTAGGATTGCTGAGCATAGCAGTGATTTTTCACCCTATTACATGCAACACAGTAAAGCCTTTGAAATTGTTAGAATTCTTCTTTTCCATCAAATATTACTGATATTACTACTAGTTCTTAGCTTGAAGCGTTCTGACTTTAATGCTTTACGTAATTTATCACATGTATTCTAGTAATAAAAGAAATGTCAGCATTCAATAAAACTATGTTCAATATTCCAATGAAGTTAATGAAATTTTACTTACCACGCTTTTTAATATATTTTTGGCATAGGTTTTGACATTATCACTTTTATTTTTACGTACAGCCTCTTGAAGGAAGGCATCTTCTTCAAACTTAATATAAATGAAGAATAATAAGTAAGATTTATACATTAAATTTACTATACTCACAGTTACTTACCTCTTTTTGGGGTAAAGGTCCTAATTGCAGTTCTGTAACATCGTTGATAATGGGAAAGTTAACAGGTTCATTATCTGAAAATGAGTCTGATTTACAGTTGTTATTAGATACAAGATCTTTGAATTCTGGATGTGATGAGACTTATTCTACTTCTGACTCCCACTGTACAATGTTTACAGGAAGATCATTACTAGCCTGAGCTTCACATGAAAGCAGAGTGTCTTGTTCATTGCCCTAAAAATTGATTGGTAAAGAATTAGTTCTATTAAATTTCACAACAATAGCAGAAAAGCGCATCTGTACCTTCTTCCAATTTCTCAAGAACCCTGATCTTTTACTATTGCTCTATTGCGGTTTATTCTTGTGTAAGACACATCAAAAAGGTTATTAAAGGCAGAGATGTGAACTAGAACATAATTACCTCTTGGTTCCAAGGGGACATAGGAGGGAGGGTATGTGGTTGATTTTGAGAAGGACAAGGTAGCACAGAGAAAAAATCGTCAATTTTTGTTCTTTTTATGTGAGAAACTCGCTTAGCCTGATCATCCTAAAAACAAAATAACTAGTTCTGCTAATTCTCAACTTCTAGATAAAAAAAAATGCGAGTATATATGTACTTTCTCTTGATCTTTTTTGTTGCTTCTTTTTAAAATATTATGAATAAAATTTCCATCTCTAATACTTCCAAAGTTTCCCCATAACGTTAAATTTTAAATGACGATTGAATGTCCACCAATTTCTTTATTTGAATGACATTCCCTTTCCCATTTTCTTGCCAAATGATAATCAAGTCAAGGTTCCTAACAAAAAATACTTATATATTGGGTTTACCACGAAATCCCGACAAGCACAATCCCAATATGATAAAATCCCGAGGCACGTATTCCAAACAGAGACAATATACTGAACGATCAAAATCCTGAAAGTATCATATCCCGAATGGTCTAAAATCCAGAATTTAAATTTCCCAAAAGTTCAAGTTACTGATAAGTCAAAATCCCGACACAATATTATAATTTTGAGCATCTCTTTGATTTTTGTTTACTAGAAAGATCATTTCCTACTGATTATATTTTGTGACAATTAATACAATCATATATACAATACATATGCACTATTTCCAATTTAAATGATAAAAAATTGCAATTTTGATTTATGACTTACATGTTACAGTATAATATATAGTGAGATCACGCAGTAGTAATTGACATAATAACTCCTTGGCAAATTATGCAAATTATTAACAATTGTGCAATCATTACGATTTATTACATAAATGGTCACATGAAAAACTTTATTGTGTCAGGATTTTGACTCATCAGTAACTTGAACTTTCGAGAATTTTGAATTCCAGATTTTGGACTATTCGGGATATAATTCTTTCGGTATTTTAATCATTCGGGATATTGTCTTAGTCGGGAATAGGAGTGTCAAGATTTTATCACATCAGGATTATAGTTGTCGGAATTTCAGGAGGATCCCTTATATATTAGCGATTATTCTTATTAATTAACATGTCTTTGATTTCACTAGTTTCTATCTTATCCTATCTAGTCAGCAAAGAGCCTTGAACATCAGATAACCAAGAAAGTCATCTGTGCCCAGTGGGTCCAGTACTGGGTCAGTAAAGAGCCTTGAATATCAGATAACCAAGGAAGTCATCTATGCCTCAGTACTAGTTTGTGGCTCAGCAAAGAACCTTGAATGATCAAGAACCAAAGAAGCCCTTGTTACGCCACTACTTTCCTACTTATTGTACATTTTATAATTTTTTTTTTTACTTGCCTTCCTATATTTATTAAGAAGCAGACTTGCTTTTTCTTGTCTTTTGCATTGTTCTGAGTTAATGATCTCAAGACTTTTAAGGTATTCGTCTATACATATGTCAAATGGCTCCATATTGTACTCGTTCAAGAATCCTAAAATACTAGTTCCCAATCTAATTGGAATCAGCAGTACTCAACAAGAATGAAAATATCTCTTAGATTACAATCAAGAAATAATTGTATCGATTTAATTGTAGAGGGGTTAAATATCATTCGAACTGCTTTGCAGTTTAGTGATATTTCAACCTCCTTACTCCCCCTACCCAATAACTATTATTTAATGAAAGGAGTTGGTTTGAAGTAGAGATGCAAACTTAACTCTTTCTTAGGGTTACGTCCTAGTTACGTCTATAACGTAACTTAACTTAATATATTACTTTATTATAAAATAATTAACTAAGAGTTACGTCACGTCATTAAGTTTGCGTCTACCATGGCAGCTGAGATGATTTACAGATCAACCAATCAGATTTTTTTTATCTCTAATAGTAAAATCAAAATGGTGTAGAAGAAACAGTGCAGTACCTTCCTTCAGGATAATCTGTTTTGGCAAATTATTTTCTGTGATGTTCAGCTAAAATATCCCAGAGATTTCTATGATCCATTTAGCGATGAATTAATTATATTTATAAGATGTTTAAGTAAAAAATTGCATTAAAGAAAAAAAAATAAAAATCATGTGACTACGTAAGAAAAATTAATTCCTCCAATTTCTAATCTGTCCCCTTTTAATCTAAAAATTCCATCACAACTTTTATTATTTTTTCTATCATTAGATGCTGTGCATTTAATATCTTCTCTCTATACCAAATTGATCTTTGAATTATAAAATGCTGAATCAATAAGAGGCACTATAAACAATAATTCCGTAGGACTCCAAGATTTGCAATTGTTTTTCTGATGCTTCTCGCTGAAGATGATGCTGTTGTTGATAGAATAGAGAAATTTGCATGCCTGAAAGACATTAGGGAAAGTGTGTTATACTGTTGTAAACATGACATATTAACTATAAAGTATAAACATACTTACATTTGAACACTTTCTCTAGGTCCTCAGATAGTTTGGTGAGATCATCATAGACAGCACTTCCATTTACGTTAACAATAATAACACCATTCTGATGGCAACCAAGATTGAGCCGTTGTGTGCGTACTTGGTTGAGTTTTTATCGACATATTTTTGATTTTACTGCTGGTTTAACAATATCAAGTTATCATAAGATATGCAACAAACAATAGAAAAAAATATCGAATCAAAACCTAAGTCCTCATATAAATGAGTTCACATTAAGTCATCAAATACTTTCGCAAATATGGGATTAATGAAATTTTTTCTATAAGAAAACTCTGTCTGTTCGGGGGTCCAATAGCTGATTAAACTAAAAAAATAAATAGAAGTAGTCAATCCAATAACAGGATAAGCAAGATAAGACTTTGGTCAATAAATTATAAGAATGCTAGTACTCACAAATGTCTATATATGTCTTGCACCCAATTCAATTCATAATGTTTTTTATAAACAAAAACTCCATTATACGGCTTTATAGCGACGGCCTCAATTGCATCATCCAAGCAAGTGTCATCGAAAACTGATTCATTTTCTAGATGATTATGATATGTGTTTATTAAAGGTTTTGTTTCCGATTCCCATTTTTTATAATGGGCAGTATTGATAGGATCCCGGATATCTCCAAAACAGGTCATAAGTCACACTTTCAGCAGATTGGCCCATTTTTCAGGGCTCAAAAAATCGTTTTTTGTAAATATCTCGGCATCCAGTGGTCCAATTTTGATGAACTTTTTTTTAAATTGTAGAGCTAAATGAGGGCTACAAAATAAAAAAATGTTCATTAAAATTGAATTACTGGATGCTTAGATATTTACAAAAAACTATTTTTTGATTTTCAGCAAAAAGGGGTGTTTTTGGCCAAAAGTCCATTATGACCTTTATATTAGATATCCGGGGTCCTGTATTGATTTTGTCATTTTCTAGTGGTTCGAACTTTTTAAAAAAGCACATTGTTATTATTGTAATAGCCATAAATATACAAAACACACACCCTATAATAAATGCATTAATTACCGATATCCAAATATCTTTTAATAATTTCTTTTCACCTTTTGACAATACTTTATGAAGAGGATTCATGACGCTTCTTATTGATAGATTAATTATTCGGTATTGTAAAATGCGATCTTTTAAGGATACTATTTTTTTAAGAATATTCTTTATATCTGAAGTTGTTTTCTGTGCAACATTATAAACTTCAAGGTCAAAAATACCCAAAGAGATCAAAGTTATGTATAAAAGAAGGGATGTACCTTGTGTGCTAGATGAACAGCCCTAATATAAATGGCTTTGTGCTCCTTATCGACATCATTGTCCTCTAAGGTTGCTTGCCGAAACCTTCTTAATAACTGCCGAAACCTATACGGAAAATGCCGAAACTATATTAAATCATATTAAAAATCCTGCTGAAACTTTGCCGAAATGCCGAAACCCCCATTTGCCGAAACTGCCGAAACCCTGCCGAAACTATAGTAAACATATAGTAAAATCTTGCCGAAATTTATCACAGGATTTTGGAGAGGTTTTGGCAAGCAACCTTATTGTCCTCTGATGGAAACGAATCTACTGGTATTTCATTATCAGCATTATCAGGTACTTTGTCATCCAATGGATGTTTTCTATTACTGTATTTTTCAATGTCAAAATCATTTTCCTTATTATCGTCACGTTTTTTTTTCACCAGAAATACTGACAATCTATGTTGAAAATCTTTTTAAGTAACGTTGAAAGTCATACTTATTGTTAAATAAATGACTTACATTGGCTATAGTTGAAGTAAAATCCTGTTGAATATGCAGGCCTGTATCATGATTTGCTCGACAAGCTAGAATCTAAAACATAAATTTGAGTTTTAGAAATACGAACTTATAACTTAAAATATGTGAAATATACATACGGTTTTTTTTTCTTTTAACCATATCTCCCAATCATGTTGTATAGATACTTCCTATTTTGAGAGAACAAACATTAAAAACACTTCATATTTTATGTTAAAATTGTCAACATGCTTAAACATATACATCGCTATTCATTGCTCTAAGCTCACTAAGTTTATCTCCTTCACTATGCTTTTATATAGCAAGATCAAAACATTTCCTAAAATTTTCAATAGCTCGTGCGCGTGATGTTGGATGGGTTAAACGAAAAAAACCAATTGGTTTTAGTTCCGAAGAACTTAAAATCCAGTTTATATTTGCTTCTTGCCAACTCTTATTATTAATTTTACTCTTTCCCTGCTTTCCCATTATTGCTTAATCAAAAGAAGAAAGAATTGTAAGTATTATCACAAACAGAAGCATCAAGTAATTACTAAAAGCAGGCAGTCTTTCACTTAAGGCCAGCCACCGCTTGATTGTGACTTACCATAAATGGCTTCTGGTAGACCTAAACTCTACCGTGGGCACTTCCTTCGTGCTTAACAAAACTATCGATATAACTTATAATGGGAATTTATATTAAACTTACTTGTGACGAAAAGAAACGTTGATATTTTTTTAAAAAAACAGCAATTAGCAATCTTTTTTTATTGCGAGTTTTTTATGCGTTTACAATTTTTGTCAGATCACTCAGATGATCCACTGATCTGTAGAATGCATATCTGATATTATTTTTTTTATTAGTAATTAACATATGACAAAAATAATTCTCTTGACCGGGGTTATAAACAAATCACATGATAAAGTGGTAGTATTCTGCGGATATGAACCAATAACGTTTTACTGCGTATGATATATAAGCCACCCACGTGATTTGAAAAAAAAAGAAATAACAATCTGCTCCTAGGTGGTTACCGGAAAGATAATAAGACTCATCATTGGTTAGATTTTTCTTTCATATCTTCCATCACGATAATAATACCCTTTATCGCGTCCACTATATTCATCATATCCATCATATCATTGTCATGACTACAGTCACAATCATCATCTACCCTATCTGGTACCTTTGGCTCATAGATTCCAGGAGAAAAAGAAATGCACTTAGATTTTTTCATTCGACCTTCTGATTTTATCTTTTTTGGGCACGAATATGGACGGGCATATGCTACGATCGTGAGCTCGAATTTATTGCTTGAACTGACACAACTAAGACAATATTCCTTTCCATTTCTATGCCATTCGCCAGATATTCCATAAATACTGTTCTATGATTCCCATTGCAAGCAAGGCATGGTATTTGCTTAATATACCTATAATTATCATACCTTCTAAAATTATTTCGTAGAAGTATATGGGACATTTCGGATTCACTTTATTAATGTAATACTTCCATATAAATGGAATGTGGAAAATTTGCAAAATATGATTACTAAATTTTAATGATATTTTTTCTGATAGTGATTTTTTCGGTCGATTAAATAATAAAACAAATTTTTTAACTTTTTTAAATATAAAATACATAATTACATATAATAATACAAAATACATAACAAATGAAATTTATATAATAACTATGAATTTAGATGTTATCTTTTAAATTTCAATATCTGTATGATAGTTATATTGTCACGTCTATTACGAAGATAAAATTATAATAAACAAATGTAACTGCCTGAATAGTTTTCCTGTGTTGTAAGAGTTTTTATTGAATTCTTCTGTTTCTTTGAAAAGTTTACGAACTTCCCCGTCCTCATCACGATACAATATTATTATTGGATCTGCATCAAACACATCATCAATTACTTGAGGAACTTTAATAGTAAACTTTGGTCTAAGCCTTTAACTGCTAACAACTCATCATAATAAGATAGAAATCCATTAAATACTTCATTTATAATAAATTTCAAACCTATAAATATCACTTGCTTGTGTGTCTTAAAACTTCAGGAGTTACATATGGTAATACTCCATAAATGTGGTTTACATAATTCTACGTCAGTAATACGGAAAAAAATCAGATGATTTGAAAATTCTTATGTATCACAAGACCAGATAAAATTTCACTTAGAGCGGAACACTTTTGAGCGACTTTGAAATCTTTGTTTATTATTTGTCTTTAAATTACCATTATTTGCATATTCTAGGTTTGAATTATTTAAACGTTTTAAAATAAAATAATTTAATCCATTGATTAGTTTTATAATTTCAATTTGCCTTTACAATTTGCTTTATATATTGATCCAAAAACTCATTTTTGCAATATATTATATCTTCTCATCTGAAGTTCTTGCATTAAGTTGAGATTCTTGGATTATTTTATCAACATCAGAATTTTTTTTATGTAAAATGTTTAGCATTGCATGTATTATTGTATTAGGTCTCCACATAAACTATTATTTTTATAACGTGATTCATTTATTATACTAATAATTTTTGTTCATTAGTTAAATCGTGATAATAAATGGAAATCTTTCATTTGTTCTCACCTTGGTGACGCCGGTAGTTGCCATTATGTACCAGGAACCTTGATTTCTTCAATTATATCTTTACTCAAATGTTCTTGCTCCATAACGAAATTTAGTAGAATAGCAGGTGGAGAGATTTAAATGGTATAAGAAGAAAAAATTTAATTAATATTACGAAACTGATGAATAATAAATAAACAATTTAAGCGAAAATGTGAAGAACGAATTTACACATTTTTTATGCCTTATATGTCAATGAGAAAATTTGTAGGAATTATGTATTGCTAAATTTGCACATTTTTTTTAAAAAAAAGGGCCTATTGTGTTATTGCATTGCAGATCTGTAATAAAAGTTAGTTGTATACCATAGTACTATATTAGAGAATGGGAAACCGTTGCTCCTTCGATTAACTAAATAAGCGTAATAAGCTTTAAATTATCCATAACGTGATTGCCAATGAATGAGACAGAATTATATTCAATTGGGATGTTCAATTAGAGGTCTATATGTCCAATTGAAATTTCAAATAAGTCAGATGATGCTCATCCAAACTGGCCATACTGCCAAATGCCCAACCCTGGCCAAACGGTCAAATGCCAACACTGCATATTTCTTAATTAAGAAATTATAAATAAATAAAGGTGCAAAACATAATTACAACCCAATTTATATTTTCGTATTCGCCCAAAATACAGGCGAATATCTTAAATAGGTAAATATAGTTTGTAATGCCGATTGTAGATAATTGGTTACTAATCGTCATGTGAATTTAGATTAACCCAAGTTGCTGAGGATTCAGTCGCGCAGACCGATTTCAAAAATTTCGAAATGATAACGTGTTACATTTATTTAAATTTAGAGGCAAATTTTTATTGTGTTATTTTATTTGATTTATACGTTTTCATATTCAATCATTATCCATATTATTTGTTTTAAAAAGTGTAATACAAGATCATTTACTTCGTAGAAGTTCCTTATTTGCAACAGTTTGAATATTTTTTTATAACGAAAATTTTTGAAATTGGACATTTGTAATATTGTCAAGTTGATAATTTGAGAAATCACAAATATTGACGTAGTTCCAATTTTGGATTACTCTATGTTTGGATTTTATACAATAAAAATGTTTATTGGGTGAAACCTTTTTAGTATTGTTATTATAATCAACACTCAAATCACGTGCCCTATTAATGCTGGCCAAGTACCGTGAAGTTGGTAGGAAACTCATAATTTCGGCCAAATACGCTCCTCCTATATCGTTTGAACCCGAACTCAAAATCTTGTTATCTACATATCCGACATATCCGGGAATTCTAATATAACTCGTACAACTACTGGAGAGAATAATTTCTGCGAAATACGTTTGATGTTCGTTCTAACCACATAGACGGAAAAAAGGGTTAATATAATTTCCCATTACTCAAGTATTACCCGACACCATTAATTTATTAAAAGTAACACGAAATTTTTCATTAATAAAATAATACTAGAATAAAGTAGAATACATAGAATAAAAAACCTATAAATAAATTTAACATAAATAGTTATACAAAAACTAATAATAATATAAATACTTGTCACTGTATGATTTAATGTTTTGAAGTTAACTAACCTGTAGAGATTCTTTGAGTAAATTTTAATTTCCTACTTATGAATATTTCTTTAGAAAAATTTGCCATTCTAGGGATAAGGTTCGAATATCATCAAAAAAAAGTAAGGGGGTGGCTAAAGTAACTTAAAGAAAATTTTGGAATTATACGGTAAAGACGTAGTGCAGAGGATGATTATGGTGTTAATATAACTAACTATGAATAATTGATAATATATTTTTGGTCAAATACAAGGTTTCAAAAGAATATTACGAAATCGGGCTTTGTCAACATATCAATATGATTATATAATAAAATATATATTGGAGGACAATCACAAAATATTATTTCATCATATAGTTTTCCCGTTAAAAGCCACATTATCAAAGTAAGGTAAGAAAAACCTATAATCAAATAAGACATTCCACTACTAAAATGGTTTTAGTAATGAAAAATAACGTAACATTTAAAATCCAAACAAATAAAAAAGAAAGATTCTCATTTTTTGTTACCTAAATTACACTAACTCTGGTCAATTTATAAATTACCAAATTTTCAAATATGAAACATATCTCATTTATTTTGTTTCCTTTTATAAATTCATCCACAAAATAAAACTCTCTTTAAAAAGAAAAAATAACAAAGTTCAGATATTTCTTTTTCCTTTAAGTTTGAACACTAATTTTAGGCTAACTTTTTATATGGTTTTATTTAGATTTTGTTAGAAAAAATATTAGTAAAAAAAATAAATAAATAAATATAACAGATAACTTGTACTTCAAAAAAAATCCTACCGTAAAACTTACCTAAATATGAATTTTCTTGGGAGGATTGAAATAGTCAAAATTAAAGAGGATCTCCAATTTTATCCAATAAAAAGCTTTATAATATGATGTGTTACCGGAAATCTTATTGGTCATAAACAAATCCCTAACGTAAAAATTATTATTAATATTATTTTCACATGTTAAATAATCTAATTATATACAGATTTGGTAAAAATCTTCATTTCAATAAGAAATTTGACGAACCGAAAATAGACGAATAATAAAATGAGACTAACATCGAACAATATTATTTTTACTAAAAAAAAAAAAATTTTGAAATTACAAAAGAAAGATAAACATTAATAAAAATTTTTTAAATAAATCAAAAAATATTTTGATGAACCCAGAAATTGGATCTTGACTGGAATGATCCGCGGATAGATTTCCAAAATAGGATTGGATCAATAAATTATTCATTATTATATTTTAGCCGTTGAAACTACATTCGTCTACATTCAACTACATTCATCTATATTCATCTATATTCGTCTATATTCGTCTATATTCGTTCACTACTTCAAAACTTTTAATATTCTTATAAGTTAAGTTGGTAAACTTTAATATAAATTTTGCCTAGTTTTATGCGTTGGGAACATCTAAGTGTGAGCTTCTAAACCTTATTTTTATTATTTTATTTTATGATATAAACAATGAAATGTAATTGATCTCGTGACCGAGTCTAGATTTCAAATCAATTTTCTTTATTCATTTATTCACATGATTTACAATAAGAAATCCTTGTGTAACATGTTTACAATGCCTGCTCAAGAGCCGTAATTGCCTCAATATTCTAACTGTTAAATAATAATCGGAAAAAAAAAGCTTCTTTTTTTGTCACGAAGAAATTACGATAATATTTACAAATATTTTGGTTTACTTGTTGAACATTCTTTCAATTAAAGCATATAAAAACCACTCTATTGTAACAAGTTATTTTTTTTTTTTGAAGAATTTATTACATTTTTGTCACAAATAGAGGTACTTGTTTTAGATCGAAATGTTTTAAATCGTAAAACAATAGATCTATTAACATTCACTTAATTTTAACTAATTTTTTTTTTATTATATAAAAAAATTTCTTTTCTTAGATTTTTTTTTATTTTTTATCATTTATTTCTTTTGTTTTTATACAAAAGAAAATATGAACCAGCTTGAAGAAACTACTCCTCCACTTGAACATTCAACTGAACCTGTAACAACTCATACTCGTAGCAAAATAGTATTACGAGCGAATAGATCTACTGCTAAACCTCGTAATTCTAACGGTGGGTCTGGTAGTTCAACTAGAACTTATAATAAACGTGATAGTAAGAAAAATAAACTTATAAAAACACGGAATAAAAATAATAAAGAAATTATTAATACGTCAAAAGAAGTAAATGAAAGTCGAATAATTCCTGTTGAAGAACCTCCTAGAGAAGAACTACCTTATGATAAATTTTTTCCGGATTTAAAATTAGATGAAAAATTGGTTGTGGTTTATATTTCCTCTAAGGATATCGCTGAAGATCAAGAAGAAAAGGAAATTAAGGAAGAGTCCAAGATAGTGGAAGAAGTAAACGTTGAAATAGAGGCCAAAGTTGAAAATCATTTATTAAAAACGCAGGAAAATGGTGATGTAATTGAATATAAGCCGATTATTGAAAATAATATACCAACCTCTACTTCTGAAAATGATGAAAAGATTCAATCGGAAGAAGCTGAACAAACGAATGTATTCTTAGACAATCATCAACAGGAACAAGAAATATTGTCATCGATAAGTATTGAACTTTCCATTAAAAGTTCTGAGAGTTCTATAGATTCATTTGCTTCGCTACCAAAAAATTTTGAAGAAGAAACTTTCAAAGATATAGAGGACATTTCATCATCAAAAGACTTAATTGAAGAAATAATTGAAGAATCAAGTTCGAAAACTTTACTTCCTGAATTAATAAAAGAGACGAAATCTTCTTTTATTAAAGATGATTATGAAGAGGAAGATGAGGATGATGAAGATGAGGATGATGATGATGACGTCGACGACGACGACGACGACGATGATGATGATGATGATGATGATGATGATACCGATAGTTTTAAAATTTCATCTCATGATGATATTGATGAAGAAACTATTGATGAGGATGAACAAGAGGAAATGCAAGTTGATTTGAAATTACTGGATACAAATGGTGATGTTACAGTCGAAGAATCAGTCGAAAAGGAAATGGAATGGACCCTTGCAAGCCCAATATTATCAGATGAGATAGAAAATGGGGTAAAAAAAGAAGAAGATAGCATCTTTACAGAGTGTCCTTCTACAGATATTATTACAACAGTGGAGGATAATACGCCAACTGTACAACAACCTCCTGTTAAAAAGCTCCCTGTTCCTTCATTTAAACGTATCAATTACATTAAAGAGGAGCCCGAAGAACCTTTTATTAGACCGGAAGGTCATTATATTCGTCATGTTGGTATGTACACAAAACATTTTTAATATAGGCAAATAAAAATTCTAATTATGTTTCTTATTATCTAATTTGAATAGAATTATCGGAAAAAGAGCTTGCGGAAATTGTTGAATATGATATGGATGAACAAGGCAAATATACTCATTTATTTTTTTTTTTCTTAAGTAATTTTAGTGTATGAGTTATTTACTTAAAGGTTATATTTAAAATAGATGATTACTGGTTAAAAGCTTTAAATGAAGAAAGAAAGAAGGAAGATTTAGGCGAACTTACCGCTGATGTATTTGAAGCTGTTATTGACCGATTGGAAAAAGAATGGTTCGACTTAGTAAGTATATTTTCGAATTTATCTTGATGTTATTAATTTCTTCATAAATATCATCATATTGATTATATTATTATATTGATATTGAAATTAGACCAAAAATTTACCGAAAGGAAGTGCGGATAAAGACAGTATGACCCCAGAGGATTCATCTTGTGCTATTTGTGATGATGGAGAATGTGAAAACAGTAATGCAATAGTATTTTGTGATGGATGTAATCTTGCTGTACATCAAGGTAATCTTATAATTAAGTTGTCAACTATTTCAAAGTTGTCTTATATTTTGTTTATAAATTATAGATTGCTATGGAATTCCTTATATTCCTGAAGGACAATGGTTATGTCGTAAATGTATAGTTTCGCCAGAGACACCAGTGGTATGAACTATGTAAAGTTTACCTTTAAAGTTTTTTGTTGATTTATTCTGATTGCTCAGTAAATAAAACTTCTTGAGTTTCTTTATTATTAGTCGTGCATATTTTGTCCAAACGAGGGTGGTGCCTTTAAAAAAACTAATACAAATCGGTGGGCACATTTACTCTGCGCTTTATGGATCCCCGAAGTTGGATTATCGAATACTGTATATATGGAACCTATCGATAATATAGAAGGAATTCCACGTGGACGATGGAAACTAGTAAATTGATTTAAATTAATTTCTTTTTCTTTCTTTTAAGCCAAGTATAATTTTTTTTTTTTTTTTTTAAAAAAAAAAAAAAATTTAAAAATTATTAGAAATGTTATATATGTGAGAAGAGAATGGGCGCATGCATACAGTGTCAAAATACTCATTGTTGTACAGCTTTCCATGTAACTTGTGCAAGAAAGGCGAAACTTTGTATGAGGATGAAATTCCCCGATGAGAATCATAGTCATTATATTATGAAGGCTTATTGTGATAAACACACACCTGTATGATATTTATTTTATTTTTAATATTCTTGTTTGTTATTTAAACTTTCTTTCTAATTAATATTAATTCTTATAGCGAGATTATAGAGAACATGTCGACGTTGCAGCCACACTCGCAGCGGCACAAAAACTTTTAATGGATCCTGTACAAACAGGAAAGAAACGTAGACACGATATTGACTATGGAACTGATGAATCCGATGTTTATGTTCCGAGTGATAGCGATGTTGACGATATAGAAGACCAATACATTGACAGAACAGAAACACCTTCACGTAAAGCAAGGAAACGAAAGCAAATAGATGACGTAACGAGCAATCGTAAAACGAATAGAGCTTTACGTAGCTCCGAAAACGGGAAGGTTACTCAAACTGTTGAAAATAAAAATTCCAAAGCTGCCCGCGCGTACAACCACACTTATACTGATACGGCACCAGTAGCGCCAGCAATTATAATGGAAAAATTATTGCCAGTGTTATCAAAACAGAAGGGCACACTGCGAAAAAGGCAAGAGCTCGTTGCCACTATTTGTAAATATTGGTCTTTAAAGAGAGAATCTCGACGTGGAGCTCCTTTATTGAAAAGATTACATCTTGAGGTATGGGATTTCTTTATTTAAAATTTATTTCTTAAATTTATCATTAAACTTTTTTTTAAAAAAAAGCCATGGACGGCCTCTGCTTCTGCTCACAAACAATCTGAGGAAGAAAAATGGGCCAAATACTTGGTATGAATATTATTCAAACATTCGGAAAATACATATAATTAATTAATTGTTGCTGCTATATTATACAGGCAATGACTGACCTTCGTAAGGATTTGGAAAAAGTAAGAATGCTGGTGGATTTAGTACACAGACGCGAAAAGGAAAAATTAAAGAAGACAAGGTTGCAAGTGAAATATCTTGAAACAATTCTTTTCCCTCTTGATTGTATTCTTCGACCAGTATTAGAGGAAATTGCGGCGTAAATATTTATATATATATATGTATTTTCAGATATTGTCTATTTTCTTTTTATACTAACATATAATATATTTAACATAATAGGCTAGATAAGAATGAAATATTTGCAAAGCCAGTGTCGATTGAGGAAGTTCCCGATTATTTGATACATATAAAACATCCGATGGACTTTGGGACAATGCGCAAAAAGATCGATGCACATGAATATAGTCTTGGTAATGGAATGCAAGAATTTAAGGTATCCCTAATAATTTTTTTAACGTAAAAAAATTTTTTTCCATCTTGGGCAACAATAAATTTTTTTTTTTTCTTGATAAATAGGATGATCTTGAACTTGTATTTCGTAATGCTATGACATATAATACTTCTGATACTATTTATTATCGAGTCGCTAAGAAATTGCAGACACAATCACAACCCATTTTGGCCAGGGCTGAGCAGGATTATACTGGATTAAATATAGATCCAGAAAAAGGTGTTTTGAATGTCCAATTGCATCCAGAAATTTTTACATATAATTCAGATCCTTTAAAAATACTGGAATCTAAAAAGAAGGCTAGTATACCAAAGAAAATAAAAAAGACGCGCGGAAGGCGTGGAAATACAACAGAAAATGGGGAAGGATCACCACGCGTTTTACGTAGTCGCACAAAGACATCATCGAAAACGGATCAAGAAACTAAAGTTGAAGATTATAAAATAAAAGAAGTTTTGGATGGCAAGAAATTGCCAAAAGGATGGATTTATTTAACAGATGAAGATGAAGAGGAGGAGGAAGGAATTCAAGAACAAATTCCACCTGTCAATGGAATTGAATATCAAGTTCCTGTCATCAATAATGATAATGTGATTGCTACTCGAACAAGGTCTCGAAAAAGTAGTATGTCAGATATTGCAAAGGAAAAGGAAGAGATCGAAATGCCAGTTGGTAAGTTTACTCTTGAAACAAGCGATACTAAACGTTTCGTATGTAACTAATTATCAGTATCAAAAGAAGCAGAATCATCAGAAGTGATTAGACGCAGTCGATCCAATAGCCAAATTATAAGCGAGACTGCATTGGTAAATACTCCAAGTGAGATGAACTCAGAATTCACTGTACAAACACGTAGCCGAAAAGGGTCTATTGATTCATCAACTGCCGAAATCACAAACATTCCCTTCGGTAGCTTGGTTTGGGCAAAAATGCAAGGATTTCCTTGGTATCCTGCTGAGGTAACTATTTTCGTTTACAATTTATATCAATAACTTTGGTCTCGTTGTTAATTAACCATAATTATTTTTGTAGGTTGCAGATCCAGATAAAGCAAACATTACATCAGCAATCCGAGCAGACAAGAAGGAAGCTGATACTTACTTGGTCCATTTTTTTGACGAAAGGAAACTTGGAAAAAAAAATTATAATCGTAGCTGGTAAGCGTGATTCAATACTTATTTTAATCGTTAGCATTTATATTATAATTAATATTTTTTTTTTCATGATTTAGGAAATGGGTTCCAGCAAATAAAGTAGTTCTTATGGGAGACGAAAAAACAGATTTGTCTAAATTAAAGGATAGAGGAATGAAATCCAATATGAAAAGAGAAATTCCGAATGCGTATGAAGCTGCTTATAAATCAAGAGGACTTGAACCTATTCTGCTAGATCAACTTGCAAAACCAGGAATTATTGTTCCAGTAAGAAGAAATAGTCGTAATAAATAAACAACATCATCTACTATTTATATAATAATAGGTGGTAGATTAATTACCGTTCTAAATTGGAGATTTCGCTGCTACAAAAAAGAAAAAGAAAAAATATATGATTTTACTCATCATAATGTATAACTTATCCTCAATAAATATTATCAGGAGATATTACTTATTAATATATATATATATATATAAATTTTTTTTTTTTTTTTCGATAGGTTAAGTAAATTACTATTGTGTACAATTATTGATTTAATTTTAATTACTTCCTGTTTCTTGATTATGTTTATTTATAGATTTTTTAGAAAGCATGTGAATTCTTGTTCAATTGCAAAAAAAATATATTTATTATTGGATTAACACTGAATTTTTGTAATACATTTAATAGCTATTTAATATTATCATTTGTAGAATATTCTCATTAAGAACATTTTACTNTTAATTTTAATTACTTCCTGTTTCTTGATTATGTTTATTTATAGATTTTTTAGAAAGCATGTGAATTCTTGTTCAATTGCAAAAAAAATATATTTATTATTGGATTAACACTGAATTTTTTTAAAAAAAAAAAAAAAAAAAAATACTATTCAAGTAATTCAACTACCCTATCTATTCCTTAACCATTGTTTTTTGAATAAAGGATGGTGATCTTTTGCTTGAGTCTTTTTATCAACCTTTTTCATAGTCTTTGTACTACTGCTATTTCCGTGAGAAAATTCCATATATGCCATATCATCGGCTCCTGATAAACTTTTCATACTACCAACAGATCGTTTAACACCTCCATATCCCTTTTGTTGCGATGTGAAATTTCTGCTCGTAACAACACCAGGTAAATCATCGGCATTCGATTCAATATCATTATCTAAATCTGCATCATGATCATTCGCTAATAAAACATCTGATAGTAATGACAATTGTTCACCATGAGTTCTATAAACCAAATCTGTAGCTTTATCCATTCCCTCAAGCTTTGTAATCACTTTAAATGCATATCCTTGATCAATTAAAAATTGTTGTCTTTTTGTTGAATAAAACATTTCTTGTGTATCCGTTGATACAAGAGAGTAAAAGAAAGCATTAAACCCTTCATCATTACGACGTTTAGCACGAAGAATACGTCCTATTTAAGTAAAACAAGATGAATTAATAAACCTTTTTTTATTTTTATTTTTTTTTTTAAAAAAAAAAAATTACCTAAACGTTGTGCTTCCTGACGCCTAGAACCATAATGGGACGAAATTTGTATAAGACAAGTAGCCTCCGGTAAATCAATAGACGTATCACCGACCTAAAAATTACGGATAAAAGTAGGATTAATACTTATTTACTAATTCTACAATTTATGAAAAATAGTTACAAAATAACTAACCTTTGACAAGAAGATTGTGTTCACCTTCGGGTCGTGTTGAAACAAACTAAGAATGTACATACGTTCTGGTGGTTTAGTTTTACCATGAATAAATGGTACTTTCAATTCTCTTGCATATTTCTAAAAGCGAATTTCAAAAATAAATCATAATTACATGTGAATAAACAATATTACTTATAAATAATATTTACCTCCAGTGCATATACATTATCCGAAAAGACAATAATCTTATCACCACGGTCCTCATGGAAACGAATCAAATATTGGCACGCCTGAAATTTATTAGGATTCATAGCATATAATAACATTCGTTTTCTTGAAGAAGCTTTAAGATATTGCGCATAAAACTCTGGAGTCATTGGACACCAAACTTCAGCACATTGAACATTGGCAATATGTCCTTTTGAAGCCAAATCCATCCAATTGGCTTCATATAATTTTGGTCCAATTAAAAAGTTTAAATCACCAATCTTGTCATCTTCACGAACCAAAGTTGCTGTAAGGCCAAGTTTTGTATGAGCTGCAATTGTTGTAACTACTTTTCTAAACATATTAGCAGGTACAACATGCACCTCATCTAACAATATAAATCCCCATTCCCTTCCTGTTATAAACTCCATCATCTTTCCAGCATCATAAGATCTCGTTCTAGTATTAGCTACCATACTGTAGGTGGATATTACTATACCAGATTGACCAGAGAACTAAAAAATCAAAAAAAGAAAATTGGTTAGAAAAAAATCATTAAATACAATTATACAAAAAAAAAACCAATTTAATAAGTTTTACCTTTTCTTTCATGTCTGATGTAAACACAGCAATCTGACTTTCTTTAATATTTGACCATGTCATAAATTGTTGTTTCCATTGCATTACGGATACACTTTTAAAGAACATAATGTTATTATAAAAAAAAAATAAAATAAAATAAAAAATGCATTTATTTTAACAAATATTCTGTTATAAACTTACGCAGAAGTACATAATACAAGACAACTTTTCTTAATAGTGCAAGCAGCCGTTATACCAACGAGTGTTTTACCTGCACCACAAGGTAACACTATAATTCCGGATCTTGCACGTCTATAAAAAAAATACCATAAATATTTTACAATGGCTAAAAATATTAGTAACCTTAATGCTTACCCATTACCAAACATCTTACTCAAACATTTTTCTTGATAAGGACGAATCACCGTTATTGGTTTAAGGTCAATATCAAGTGGTGGAAGAGTTGAATCATTACGAAAATCATATTCTTCCAACATGGGATAATCAAGTTCAATACAACGTTTTTTCACAACCTAAAATTATTTATAAGAAAGTTTATTTTCAATAGCTCCAAAATATTACACCAAATTGTTGATAATATTTACCTCAAATTTCTCTGATTTAATTTCAAAGGAATGTACTTCATCTTCTTCCTCCTCTTCGTCCTCTATATTTTAAAAATCAAATTATTTAATATTTCAAAATTACAATAATTTTATTAAAATTGAAGCTGGTAGGAAGTGAAGAGTGTTGTTGAAGAAATTGAAATATAGGTATACTAAAATCAACAACACCACAGTATTACTAAAACAACTAGATATTGTCTTACCCTTATCAATTTGTACCACTGCATTAAATATGTTATCATCTTCCGTTTCAGGTTCTTTGTTTTTTCCATCTGCATCTGTTTCTTTTTCCTGTTCTTTTTTACCAGAAATTATTAGATCTTTGCCTGTTGGTGCCTTATTCCTTAGAAATCCCTCATCAGACCCTTCACTATTTACTACACGAGCTTCAGAAATATCTTTGTCTTGTAATAATTTTTGTAATATATCTGCATATGATGATTCAACAAAGTATCGATTGTGTTTAAGTACAAGTTTTACTTTGCCATAAGATAATGTACATGTCCTAATAAGTTCCATAATTGATTCGGGAATTTCAATCTAATGAAATTAATAAATTATTACATTAATTAAAGATTTATTATTCAAAAGAAAAAAAAAAAAATATCTTGCCTTTGACAAGATTTTTAACACATCTATTATAGCTTCTGTCTCTAATCCTACAGAGACTGCAGCGTATAATGAATAAGGCGTCAATTTATATTCGTGTATGTGAGATGGTCTGTAAATTATACAATTTATTAAAGAAGTATATTTCAAGTGAGAATTTCAAAATTATTTAGTTACCTGCTCACAGGTTCGCTAATTGTAATTAAGAAATCTTGAGCCTTTTCTGCAAAAGGTGAAAATCCTTCAAGAATAATATGACCAGTCGTTGGATTTATCCATAACGGTCTATTAGCATGATCTTTTTTTAATTTTATATAAGAAAAATCGTCTTCTCCAAAATATTTTGATACAGAATCTCGAGGAATATTAACATGAGTCGAAGTCTTGAGAGAGTCGATATCAAAGACAGCACTTCTTGGGACTATTTTATTCATAATTTTAAACTTTATTATTTTAACTAAATTTATAAAATCGAGAACAAATTTTATTTTATAACATACTCAATGCCTCTCTTGACAAGTCATTTTCATCTTCCGAGTTATGATTCGGCGTAGCCGAATTAGATTTCTTTGACGATATTTTACTTTTTTTTTTATTTGGTCTAGAAGAGCCAGCTGGAAGATATTCGTCCTCTATTTTTCATTTTGTAATATATATAAGAACAAAACTTTTAGAAACCACATAAAAAATACTTAAAAATTAAATAGCGAAACTTTTTACATTTTTAAGATAAATGGAAAAAATGAAGTCATTTTTTTCAAAACTTTTTATTTATTATTTTTAATATTTTTAAAAAAAAGCAAAATCAAGGACATACCGTCCCGATATCGCCTTTTAAACGTTGGTGGTGGCATTATACAAACTTATGAAAAACAGAAAAAAATTTTTTAAAAATAATTAATTCTGGGTGTGAAAGGGTTATATTTATAATTAATAAGTGATCGACACGCCGCAACATAGCCGCAGGAGTAGATAGATCTTAAATTTTATGTTCCAGATTTAGAAACAATTACGTAATTATGCTATAAGAAATTTCCATGTGGAAAATTGCCGTCGCCAATTATTCTGTTTAGATTCCGGTGTCCGGATTTTTAATGGAGGAAGTTAGTGAAATCTCGGTTATAGAAGTAGATTCTACAGAATTCACGAAAGAAACGATTAATAATAATGAAAATACTGAATACTTTTCTATATTACAATACGATTTTACGCAAGAAATTAATTCAGTATGTTCTACTAAAAAGCAATTTAGTAGCACAGTACTCGATTCTTTAAAACAACTTAAATTGTTTGAAAAGTTGGATATATATATACCGAATGCATCAGAGGAGAATTTTTTTAAAAATGCTAAATGGTGAGAATGAAGTTTAGCAAATATTAATTATAAATAAAAAAACCAACCATATTTCTGAAGAAAAACTGGTATTTACAGCTTACTGAAATATTTATTATTTCGGAAGGTCACCAGACGGATCATGTATATTAACGTCAACGAATGACAATGTATTAAGAATTTTTGATCTGTGAGTATTAATTAAATGATTGTTCTTAATCTTATTTCTTAATAAATACTGATTTTATTGAAATTGAAATAGACCTAGAAATGCTTTAGAAATAGCTGATGGTAAAATTTGATTATATAGATTGACATCATAAATAACTAATTTCTAATTTAGAAATTGAATTATAGAAATTGAATTAAGCCAGGTTCTTGCCTGTCATACGGGAGAAACAGTATACGATTTTTGTTGGTACCCTATGATGTCTATTCAAGGTAGATCATATTTCCTACAATACATATTACGAAATTAACGAAATAACTAAAAAAAATTTCAATTTTAAACTAGATCCTGACACTTGTTGTTTTCTCTCGTCAAGTCGTGAACATCCAATACATTTATGGGATGCCTATTCTGGGAAGGTAAATGGATCAAAGGATGTCATTTTTAGTGGGTTCAATTATAACATCCTTTATCATCTTATTTTCAGGTGAGATGTTCTTATACCATAATTGATCATCGGGATGAAATTGTAGGACCTAATGCATTGACTTTCAATTTAGACGGTTCAAGGTAAATTTAGATGAACTCTTTTCTCATCAAATTATTTATTCAAATTTAACCTTACTTTGTAATAGGATATATTGTGGATATAAGAATATGATAAAAATTTTTGACTTAGATCGTCCTGGGCGCGATGGTCAAGATATTAAAACAACCCCTTCACGTAAAAGTAAAGAGGGACAAAAAGGTTAATAAAAATCAATTGTGAACTTAGTTGTTATGTGTTAAATCCGATTTATTGATAGTATAAATTATTGTAGGAATTATTTCATGCTTGGCATTTAATCCTGATAGATCAGGTTTATATGCAGCAGGATCTTATTCACAAACAATTGGATTATACGATGAGTCAAACAATGAATTGTGTAGTATCTTACAGGGGACAGAAAATGAGTCAATTGGAGACATTATACAAGTATAAGATAGAAATTCTATTCTACATATATTACACGAAATGAAAATAGAATTAAAGATAGATTTTTTATTAATCCTAGGTCCAATTTTCGCGAGATGGGAAATATCTTTTTTCATCATCTCGAAAAGATAATTATATACGTTGCTGGGATATTCGAAATACTGGCAATATTTTATATAAATTGGAACGTAATGGTAACACGAATCAGAGATTATCATTTGACCTGGATAATACGGGGTCTTTTTTGGTTACAGGAAGTCTTGTAGGTTTATAAATCAGCTATTAATCTATTACAACCATTGAAAATTTTTTAATAAAATATTTTTTTTAAACAGGATGGAAAAATGATCGTTTATGATTTGGTTAATCTTGATTCTAAAGGAAGTCCACGTAAAGTGTTGGATAGGTTAGCACATGATGGTATGATATATACTTTAAGCTTATCGGGTTTTACAAGAATTTGAATTAATGTAACTTTTTTTTTAGATGCCGTTTCAGCTATGTCGATTCACCCTACTTTGCCGCTTATTGCCTCTTGTTCTGGACAAAGAAAGTTTAAATTGATCAATGGCGATATATCAGAAAATGATCAAAATCAAAACATCACAAGTGATAATTCACTCAAAATTTGGAGAGCTAAAGGAGATTATGCTTGGTGTTATTATAGTGCAGAAGGTGAAATCGTAATTCACCCTGTAACGAATATAGAAGGGGAGGAAAACACATCAAAAGAATATAGTTTTGATAACCAAGGAACAATAGATATTAGTAATGAAATTAGTTTAAACGCTAATATTTCAATGGTCGAAGAACAAATAAATAACTCAAATATAGTAAGTGATAATGGATCTGATAATTATATAATGACTTATGTAAAATTTATTTAGTACATTAACTGTTATGAATCAATAGACTATTTAGAAGATTTCTATATTAAATATGAGGTAAAATTGAAATTGATCTAGTTTCGTTATTTTATAAGAAAAAAAAATTTTTTTAAGTATTGGTCTTTGTAAAGTTTTTTTTTTTTTTAACTTTTAGGATAGGATCCCATAATTTCTTGTCGGAAAAGACTTGATAAGAAATTATTATTAGAGGAATTTTTAAAGATCAGCTGTCTCATCTTTCTAATGAACTCAATTTACAATTTTTCTGAAATATAGATATGTATATAGTGTATAATAGTGAATAAAAAATTAAAGTTTAACATATTGTACTACCTTTTTTTGAATACACTAATTTTAGTAGTTCAACGTTTCTGTTATAACTGCAAAGGGTTTGCTTAAATTCCTTTATTTTTTCACACAATTAACCCGTAAAAGTAAATTTATACGATTTTAGGGTGCAGATTAACCTTTTTTGATAAGTAAATCGGAAAAATTATTCATACGATTAAGGAAGTAGATTCCACCATCCCAATTGTAGTGATCTACATTCCACGTTGATGACATAATTATATTTCTTTGATAAATGTGTCATAGTTATTCCTTTATTGTTCATTATATCTTAAAAACATTGTCACCTGATATAGCATTATATTCCACCAATGCTATAACAATATGATTATAAATACAACTTAAATAAAAAAAACCCACTTTTGAATCTCTCATGCAAGACTTTTTTTTGTAAAAACTAACTTTTCTAATTTTATTATATACAAAATGTTTTTGCGAAAATATTTTCACAAAAACAAAAGAAATTCTACTAATAATTATATTTTTTACCATCAAATATGTTTATCTACTTTGTTTTGCAATATTACATATAATTAATTTTGTAATTAATTACACATTAATAATTTTTGTCTACCTATCTTCTTTTACTTTATATTAAAATTTTTTTTTTACACACATATATATATACTCTTTCATCGCTCCACCTTGGCAATTGTCTACATAGGTGATGGTGATAAGTTAAGGAATTCGCTCAGCGAAAATGCAGAGCCTGGCGTTCTTGTGCCAGATGCCGTCCTAATTTGATGTGGTGGAGTACTAGGTACTTCTATTAAAATGGGAGTGTGCGGCGTGGAAACTGCATTACTTGCCGCCCAAGCATCTAATGATGCCTGGTAGGAAGAAGGTATTGCTTCCGTGTTATTACGAGCTTCTACCACTTTGGGTTCGAAATCTATCGTTTGTTCTTTGAATTTTGGGCTTTTTCGATATCGTTTATTGGTAGAAGCGCTATATGTAGCCCATAAATAATCAAATTCTTGCCCAGGTGAGTTAGCCGCGAAACGATTCCTTATCGATGGGGAGATATCAGCCAAAAGTTGATTATACATCGTTCCTGGTGTCACGTTAATCGAGTGCGCTGTCATCGAGTGCGCTGTCGGATCGAAATCTTCAAACATTTTATCGACATCGAAATCCCCAGGTACAACATTTTCTGTAACATCATCGCAATCACGTACTTTTCTCTTTGATCCTTTTACGGAGGTTTGTGATCGTTCTTGTTCTTCTATATGTTGATCAAACTCGGAAAAAGGCAACCCTGAAATTATAGTGCGTGGTGAAATAACTTGTAACCCAGAAACCGTGTTTGACAGTGAATTTAATCCAGAGGTCGAATCAGTTGAAGTTGTAATTGGTGGAATTATTGAATTTGTTTGTTTTTTCGACTTCTTGTTTGTCGCCTTTGTCAACTTTTTTCCTTTACCGATATTTTTTACTATTTTTTTACTGACATTTTTCGATGATTCTAACATATTATTTTCATTTATCGGAAATGCTTTCCGTACTTGAACAAGCGATACGGTTCCTGGGTCACATGTACTTCTTACGTTTGCCTCAGCTTGTCGCCTTTTTTCTTCATACAAAGCTTGACCCCGTTCTTTGATTAAAGTAGAAAAAGGTGTTTCATCCTCATCTTCTGATGGCCAATCGGACTCTAGAAAAGCTGCTATAATGCTTGATCCATATTTCGATGAATTTTGTAATACAGGACGAAATGTAGTAGAATTTGAATCTAAATTACAGGGAATCGAAGGATCATTATTTAACCTATCGAGTTCCTGGTAGGAATTGTTATCATTTGAAAGATCTCTTTGTAATTCTTTCATCGTAATACTATCACGAGGTCCAGAAAGATCTTGTGTTAAGGGGGGATAAGTTGATGGGAAACTAGACGCGTTTGATCTATGACTTGAAACTATGGTACTATGTGATGAAGCATATGAACCGGATGATTTGCGTAAATTCTCAAACGCTGGAGAATCATTTATATTTATATTAGTTTCAAGAACCTCGGTAGATTCATCGTTAGAAGAATAATCAGGAAAATCAAAATAAGAATCTGCATCTATTCGTGTAGAATCCTCCGAAAGTCTTATATTGTTCTTATTAAGGGATTCCATCTTCATCTTTTCTTCGAACAATTGCGTAACTGTTGAAAGATTAAAATTCTGCCAACCGTTCTTGTACTTGTATGATGCATATTGCAGGTATAGTAAAATATCACAAGCAATCTAAATTTTGTTAGAACATTTATTGGGTGTAATGATTTAAAAATTACAAATAATATTGGAAACGAAGAAAGAATAATAATAAAAAAAAAAAAGAAACGCTTTTTTTTTTCATCTCACATTTAAACATTACAAAACGTTCGCGTATAAAATACGAAAAAGAAAATTTACCTGTTGATCGTTACATCCTTCGTTCACAACATCTTCACGAGCCAATTTAACAAGTTTAACTAAATCGTTTAAGTGTTGTTGTTCAGTTGTATTTTGTGGTGTATTCATTTTGAGTAACTCTAAGTAAATAAACTTTAGGTTTTATCTAAGAAAGAAAGTCAATCGGTTAAATCTATAAACGCGACAAAAGACAAAGGGTTAAAAATATAAAGAAATTTAAAAGACTTTTAAATTTAAAGGATATAGTATATACCTTTAGGTTTTTTTTTTATTTCTTAAAGTAAACAGTAAGTAGGAAGAGAATTTTTTTTTTTCTCAAAAGTCTCAAAGGGCGCGTTTAAATATTCTTTTTTGAGAGTCCGAGTAACCAAAATAAAATAATCTAACCCCTGCAAATAACTACTATTGATATCGATAAAAAAAAAATCAGATTGATTCTTTGTAGAACGTGCATGATAAAGAATATTAATAGTAACAACAAGAAAAGACGGTCAAATATGACTAATATAATAGTTATAATAGTTCAATATATAGAAAGAATACTCTTTATGACCGTTTACCCTTTCATATTGCTAGCTAATGTATTTTACATGCATCATAATTAATTGATCGGATCTCTAAATATAATAATAAAACGTCAAATATTTTCAACTTAATAGAGAATATTTCAACATCCTCTTCATAAAAAAAAAAAAATAATATGCTTAAAAAACAAATAATTGATGAGATAATGTTAATCAGTTAATTACGCGTCACACTTTAACCAAAGCGAGCGATTCGGATACTGCGCCTTGAATTAAAAGAATAATGGTATAAATAAAGTGATGGTAATCGGACGAGGAGAGAAAGAATTAATATATTTGATGAATTATGATGTAATTAGATATAAAAATGAAAAATTGACGACAGGGTACAAATATTTTGTCACTTTTTTATTTTATTTAATTATGAAATAATATAACAATTTATTCTCGTTCTTTTTATTATAATATAATTCAATGAATTAGATTTCATCAAATTATGTCCTTTTAATAATTTTTACGATAAAATCAAAGATAATTTGCAAAATTTTGACTTTTGAATTTCAGTAAAAGGATTAAAAACTCGCCTTCAATATCCAATTTTGGATAAATGTAACAATTGTAACATGTCATCACATATAAATACATGATCAATTTTCCGCAGTAAAAATTTTTCATTCGTTAGTCTTTGTTATGATATTACTCCTTTTGGTTTAAGTTCAGGGAAATCTTTGGGGATTACAACTGAAATTTTATCGGGATTTACTTGGTTACATTATTATTCGTTATTTGTTCCTGCTTTATATTATCGTATTATGTCTATTGCCACGTGTATACCATGTAATACAAAGGGTTAGTTCACACAACTGAAAAAAAACAAAATATTCAAAATTACTGATGAGCGATGATCAGCAAAGCCAATATTGGAACTGATCTATGGCGCCATATGACGAATAATACTGGATATTTTTATATATATATATTATTTAATGGCAAAGGAATCGTACTTTGTCAATAATATATAGAATGTTACAGTGTTTAGTTATATCACGTGATATATTAATTCTGGCCGAAATGTTGTTATAATTTTGGTCAGATTTAAATAGGTTTTAAAATTATTTTAAATAGACGTAATAAATAATTAAAATTTAATTGGGTTGAGGAAATGAGAAGTAAAGTAATAATAATAATAATAATAATATATATATATATATATATATACTGTATATGTTCATATATATATATATGTATGTATATCAACAACATTTTAAATAAGATTAACCAAAAGAATTTATATATTGTTTTCTTTTAAAATTAAAATCTAAATAACCTAATTAAAAGAATATATTTATTATATTGAAGAATTTGTATTCCATTCTATAAATTTTTTTTTGATTCAATATTTATTATTATCATTATCTTAATTATCAAAACATTTTATTATTAGATAAGTAGATAAAATCAATTCCTTTTATAGCTACTGTAATTACTAATCAAATCAAGAAAAAAAAAACATCCAATATTGAATAATTTATAATTTAAGCAAACTTTATATATAAAAAACAATATTTTATACATTATTTGGGTTTTAAAATATTTTAAGATATAATTTCTTATAATATGCAATCCCGATGCATGCAAAAAGAGTAAAAAAAAAAAAAATGATACTGCAGATCGTCAGATCGTAACGCGAAAAAAATTGGTGTGGCGAATGCGATGTTTGCTGAGCCGTTTTCAAGTTTGGTTTGATACAGTGAAGATATTTTTAATTAGAAATTTTTATCCGCAATTTCTTTTTATCCCATCAATCCTCATCATCTGCTAACATATGATGTTAAAAATGTGATAAAAAGTAATACATCAATGTTTAATTAGTTACTTAAATGATATTATGATATAAATAATTTTGGTGTATCAGTATCATAAAAAAAGATGTGAGTTCCCGCTTGCCAAGAGACAGGATTTTGCGGCTGGTTTACAAAATATTCATAACCATTAGGGGCTTGTATATATGTAGGTTATGCTAACAACAAAAAACGTTTAATGTTTAATGACGTCGCTTTCAGTGACACATGAAACAACCTTATAACTGAATTAACTGAAATTTTTACTCTTAATATTAAGGTTGGTTTCTTACCTTTTGACTTATTTTCGTTTTTTTTTTCTTTTTTTCTTTCATGTTTTTGTTTTCTTCTTCTAATAATCGAAACTTCTCTAAGTTATAAAAAAAATTTTACAACCCTTTTTTTCTTTTTATTTTATAATTTTCTCGATATTATATTTGACTTTTTATTGCTTTTGTTTCGCGATTCAACTTTTTCCCCCCATCAATTATCACCATTAAAACCGTCAAATTGACTTCAATCAACGCCTCATCAGGGGCGCACAAGAAAACCATCATGGGACAAGCACAGGACAAGCTTAAGAGCAACCAACTCGAAGATAACTTACAAGCTTCCTCTACTATTGAAGAAAACTCTGTTGTTACAGAGTCAACCTTTACCTTGGTTGCATCCGACTCAAATGTTCACCATAACTTTAGCTTTTCCTCTCCTTCTATACAAGACTCACATTCGCAAGGTATTAATTTCAAATTCCGTGTCTACTGATGCAGATCTCGGTAATATACAATAACTGTAAAAAAGTTATTACTCTTACTTTTTAAGAGAAAAATATTATTATTATTAATTATTATTATTATTATTATTATTGGAGAGTTTTATTGAAGGTTTTTTTACTTCAGATAATTTTACCATTCGTCTAACAAGTTCTAAAACTGTAGATTTTACAAATAATTCGCTTGCAAGTTCCCTCGCAGGTTTAACGATTCATGACAACTCGAATTCAGATAATAAACCTGCTGCTTCGGTAGTGCAAGCAACGACTGTTAAAAATATTGTTAAAGAAAATCTTAATGGATTGTCGAAATCAGTTGATGATGATGATAATGATGTTGATATTAATAAAAATATTAGTCAGATTTCGGAAGATATTTCATCTAAAAATATAGGATCAAATTCAACTGATTTAATAAATAAAAAATCTAAAGAAATAAAATCAACTTTAGCAGATGAAGCAGAATATACTATACCTCCTGCTATTGCTGAAGATGTCTTACGAGAAATGTTAGCAAATAAACCAAGTCAAGATTTATTGGAAGAATTGGAACCACCATCTGTAAATACAAACGGTAAAGGTGATAATTCATCCTCTAAATTTAAAGGAGATTCTGTAAACCATGAAAAAATTGGTGAGTTCTCTGAACCGACTAAAATTAGTGTCAATAAGAACAATTTGTTAATCTTGTCTGGCACGTCAGATTCCCCTTTTCCTTCTAAATTTACTTTCCCAAATATTGCGGATAAAAATTTCTTTGTACCAAATTTTTCAAATCCTATTGTTACTACTACTACTTCTCCTTCATTTTCTTTCGGAAATCCTTCCGAGTTATCATTACAAAATCCTTTTCAAAGTCCTTCCATTTCTTCTTCAAATATTTCCACCGCTAATACTTTACAACAAAAAGAACAACAACGACGCGTGACCTTACAATGGCATCCTCCGGTATTGGATAAATTTTCACCTGTATTATCATCAAAAACACCTTCGATAACGATGCCTTCGAGTTCAATATGGCCGCCTTCGATTAATACTACCTCTCCAACCGATACACAATTTTCCAATTCTAATTTATTATTTCCACAGTTTACGGGTTCTTTTAAATTTGATATGAACTCAAAAAATAATATAACTGGAACTCAAGGATCTTCTAATATTCCTTCACCTTTGGTTCATACTAATAATGTTGATTCATCAAATGATGATAATAATAATAATAATAATAATAATAATACTATTATTACAACAACAGTTCCTATTAGTCCCCCTTCTTCTACGACTATTTCAAATACTCCACCTATATTATCTTCCACTGCATCAACATCGAGGAAAGGAATGCATTCTAATATGGGTACAGGAAGAACGACGACTTTATACGTATCAGCAAAACCATCGATTAAAACTGTTTCAAATACAACAAGTAATAACGGAAATATGCAAGCACCTTTATTAGTTTCACCTACATCTACTATAAAAAAATTACCAATGAAATTTGGTGACATAAGTATATCAAGTACAGCGTTAACATCCGCAACAGCTTCAGCTAAAGGAATTACAATTAGTGTAAATAATTCTAATAGTAATTCAAATTCTCCTTCGACAATACAGACATCACCACCACCCAGAGGATTTATTCATAATGCGACGAATGCTCCTACTCAAAGGCAAATTAAAGAATTACCGAGAAGAGCAAAATTTCGTCCAATATCAAAAGGAAATAATCCAAATGATGAAAATAGTAATAATAGTAATAATAATAACATTAATAATATAGGTAAAAATGAATCTATCGTAAATGGAGGGTTTAACATAAAGAATGAGATGGTTGTAACACAACCATCTTTACCTGTTATACCACCTTCCCCACTGTTTTCATTTTCTACACCGATCAATTCTGAGGATGATGATGATTTTGATGCAGAAGAAGATGAAGGAAATAATGTAAATGGACATGCAGATTGGTTGGACAATGCTAATAATAAAAAGAAACGAAAAGCATTACAAACTGTTGGAGGTGGTTCAACTACTAGTGGAGGAGTTGGTGGTGTAATGAAAACTTTATCGGCAAAAGAACGTGCAAATCCATTAAGGAGAGTTGAAAGACGATCAACGCAGCGTAATAACATAAAATCATCTTCAAATTGTGATTCTATATTACCATTTGATAGTAAAAGTGTTAATAAAGAATTAGATGGTATGAGACCACCACAAACAACGTTCGACTTTTCATTTAAATCAATTTCTGAAAAGTCTGCAGCGGCAACAGCAGCGAGCGTTAATGCGGCTAGTGCAAAACGACTTGCGGCTGTTTCACCGATACAGACGATGAATGCAAAGAATGATCCATTTTCATCATCATTATTCCTTCAACAATCACAATCAACGGTTACAACTGTGGTGGTACCTAATAATTCGAAGAAAAAAGTTTCAACTAAACGAGCAGCTCCATCTTCAGCATTATTTAAAACTGAGGATGTAACAGCAGTTAATACTAATCATGTACATCCTCAATTTGCAAAATCACTAAAATCATTACCACCACCGCCACCACTAACGACTACACCTAAAAGATTACCTCGTAAAAAGAATAAGAAAAAAGCACAAGCAGCTGTTAATAATAGTCAAAATATTCAAAATCAGCATCCACCACCGCAGCATCCTCATCAACATCATAATCATCATCATCAGCATAATCACCACCCACACCATCAACAGCAAGATGACACCTCTTCGACTTCTGGCTCTGTAGATATTCAACCTGTTACTAATAATAATTCAAGACGTAAGATCAAATTTCCAGAAAAAAGTGGAGATTGGATTTGTATGTTTTGTGAATATAAACTTTATTATGGAGATGGAAGACGATCGAGACGACGGCCGAAAAATAATACGAATGCTAATAATGGAGATGGTGGCGGAGGGTTCAATACTTCAGGTGATGGAGGAATAGCACCAGACAAAGCTCTAACGACTTAATTTTTTATTGTTTATAAAATAAATATATATATAATTACATATAATAAGGTAAGATCGTTCAAGGTTTTATTTTTTAACTTTATAATGCATCTCATTAACTAATATGTATATTTCTATGTAGTAACAAAAAAAAAAAAAAGAATTTTGATATTTAATATTTATTTCTTTATTTTCTATGGACTTTGTTAGAACAAACAATCACATTATGGAAAAGGAAGAAACACAACGCGTCACGTTGATTTATCACTTAAGGGAGGTTTATATTCATTTTATTATTATTTTTATTACTTTTTATTACTTTATTCGCATTGGAATTTTCATGTTCCTTTTTAGTACCGAGAAAGGAATATGATAGTGGTTATGACTCGTAATTTCTTTTCTCATTCAAGATTAGAATTTGCGATCAATTGAACAAAAGTTTGATGCAGCAATTGCAATTGCTGTACGGGCTTCTTTAATTATCTCATTCTCTTACTTCGATATATCAACACGTGAATAAATTATACGCCCTTAATAGTAGGTATAATTCAATAATTTTTTTGTTTGTTTGTGTTGTTATTCTTTCTCCCCCCTTTTTAAGCTGCTTTACTTATCTGTAAAAGATTATTGCTTTCGAGTTGTAACTATAAAAAGAAACAAGTAAAATAAAAGGCCGGTGTTTTTTTTCCTGAGGGAAATTGATTGCTGGTGTTTATTGTATTTTCATATATAATTTATAAATTGTATATATTCATTTAATAAAAAATCATAATAAAGATCATAAGACTTTAATTTATTTAGTATTACGAAAAGAAAAAGGTAAAGATTTAAATTATTTACCGATAATCTGTCGATCGAAATGATCGTCAATAAATTTGTCCATTTCGAAAAAAAAAACTGTTATTCATGTGACTTAAATACTTGATTTGTTACACTTTGTACTACAATAAACGTGTTTACATGCCATTGGATAAAGAATTGCTCGCTCCCCGAAGATCGATTCGAATTAAGTGTAAGTCGCATTTAGAATTCGTGTGAAATTAAAAAGTTTGGAATTCAAAGAACATGGGGCGGCTACTAGCGCCACGAGTTTTTGCGTTCGTAATTTTATCGCTGGTTTTATATGCGAAATTAGTATCAAGTATATATGCTAATCAAGCAGGAGTAATAGATTGGTATGAATTTGATGCTTAAGAAAGGAAACCTTTTTTTTTTTTTTTCATGTAATTCTCACAAAGTTAATTTTCTTAGGCACCATCAATATATCGGTACTCCAAAAGTCTCGTTTTTTCATAAGTTTGTCTCTAGAGGAGCTTATGTTTTAATAGCTTCCGACCGTAACGTTTTAGCGTCAATTAACGTTCGTAGTGGGAATATTGGTTTGTATCACGTGAAATCTAAAAGAATGTGTTCTTTGTGTAAAAAAAATTTAGCAGTAAATTATAATAATTATTAAGTTCTTTTTAATTAGACTGGCGTCAAGTTTTTGATGGAAATGAAAATATTTTAGCTTTCAAGGGGTATGAAAACAGTAAGTTATTAAATTATTTGTTTGTAATTACTGATAATATAATTTGTGGTAATTTTGATCCTTTAATATATTTCTAGCTGCTATATCTGTATCTCAACGAGATAATGATTACATTGTTAGATCTTGGGAATCACATTCAGGATTCATGTTATGGGAAAACAGAATAAAAAATGTTGGGCTATATAAAAATTCCAATCCAATTATTGAAAATGATGCACCAAAAGTTGAAGTTATTTTTGCTACGAATAATCCTGATGTATTAATATTATTAGAAGGAATTACTGTTATAAATTTAAATGTCATAGATGGTAAACAAATATGGAGATCAGATTTAGCAGATAGGTAATTTTATAACTTATTATTTTTTCTTCTACCATTTTAATTCGAGATGTAATATCAATTCCTTTTTTTAGTTCGACTATTCTTTATAAACTTGTCGAGTTTAATGGAAAAGTTTACGGTGTTGGTCTCAAAAAATCTTTCAGTTCTTATACTATTGAAGTTGTTACCTATGATATTTCGAGTGGAATACTTAAAACCCAATTACTTAATTCTAAAGTTGGTAATATTAAAGATATGACCGTCTTAGGAGGGGGCACACAGGATGGATTTATAATTTGGAGTGAGGGTGGATTTATACGAGTTAATCGGTTGGGCACAACTTTTTCTGAACAAACTTCTTTAGAGGTAATAAGATATTTACAATTACATTTAAAAAGTTCCATTATATTTATTTAATATTTTTTTTTATTTTCGTAAAGGAACTTTATGAAAATGTAATTCCATCATTTGGTGATGCTAATGGAAACCTTGAGCTTCTTGATCTTAATATTGGATCAAGAACCGAATTTCTTGTTCAAGTACCTACGAAGAAAGGTAATACGGCTGCTGCATTCAAGGTTGATCATGTAAGTGGCCGATTGGTCGCTCTTTACGACTTTGAAGAAAGAGTAAGTGTTAATTTCTATTTTATTTTATTTTATTTTTGATATTTTAATCATATCTCAAAATTTAACTTATAATTTATAGTCGGAAAATTCGATATATTCAGCCACTTTTGATAAGAACGAACGGATTATAATTTCCAGAAGTAGAGTGGTTGCTGAGGTATTTAAAAGTTTTACTTTTTATTAATATGATTCGGGAATTTTATTTTTATAATATAATTGATAAAAAAATAAAAAATTTCAAATAGAATGTTTCAGAAGTAGAAATTATTGCGCCCAGTACAGGAACAATTCTAGGGAATTATAAAATTCCTTATTCATTGAATTCATATGGTAACTTGGTGAAGGTACGTTAAAGATGAAATAATAAATTCATATATGCTTGAAGGGATCATAATATTTTTTCTTTATCCATGTAATCCATGTAGTCTGTGCTTGACGTTGATTCTAAAGCTATGGGATATCGCATGCTTGTGATTTCTGCTGATGGTTCCATGCATTTCTGGAAAGATCATGACGTGGTATGGAAGAGTGAAGAATCTCTTGCTCATACTATTGAAGCAGAATTTCTAGATTTACCGGAAAGAAAGTTATGGACTCAAGAATCTGATGAACTTGGTGTGTAAAAGAACTTTTTTTTTTTAATTATAACCAAATTAAATATCACATACTCAAATAACGAACTACTTTAAATATTAGCCGAACAACCTGAAGAAACAGAGACAATTTCACCTCTCATTCGCTATTTACGACGAGTAAAAACTCATATTGAACAACTCAAGGTAATTACATTTAAAAAGAATTTTTTAAAGTCATCATTAAATTAATATTCATAATATTAAATTTAGGATTTTCCTGCTTATTTAACCGCTTATATCCAACGACTTATAACTGGTGATTACGAAGCAGAGTTTAAATCAACTAATAAAAGCAAAGTTAGTCTTCATAGGGATACTTTCGGGTTTCGAAAGCTTTTGATTTTCGTGACTCGAACAAAATTAGTAGCTTTAGATACAATTAACAAAGGACAAATAATTTGGTCTCGATTTTTTGGAAATGATGTATCTGAGTTTAGTAATATCTTTATAGTAAGATCCTCTACGGTGAAATATCCCCCAATTGTTGTTGCGATTGGTATACAAAAAAATTCCGAGGTATTAATTTTTTGATTGTTGAAAGAAAGAAAAAAAAAACTAAGGTACTAATGATTTTGTATGCATATGTGCCTTCTTTCTTAATATTCTTAATATTCTTAAATAGGGAAAGTCCGTTACGCGTCTTTTCCGATTGAACGGTCTCACTGGAGAAAATTTTATTCCCGCAGAAAATGAAAATTCTTTTCCTCCGGAATTATCAATTCCAATTACGACTAAACGTATTCTTAAATTACCTGTTGAAGAACCTGATGAAAGAACTCATATTATTGCATTAATTGACGAAGAATTAAAGGCAAGGTTAATATATGATTTTTATTACAATTATCTTTAAATTAAAAGTACTAAATTTTTTTTTTTTATTTTTCTTCAAATTAATTATTATGATTATAACGATTATAGTTTCACATATACCCAAATCATGAAAACTCGATAAAAGCTTTTATGCAATTCGCACCATCATTTTATTTTACTTTATCAGACGATATTGGAGAAAAATCTTTGAAAGGATGTAAAGTTGTCAAAAATAATGTACAAGTAAGAAATAAACCATTAAAAAAAAATATGAAAGATTATTGCTTTTATTCGTAATTATTAATATTACGTATCAATAATATTACAGCCATTTGATATTATCGAGATTTGGACTCTTAATTTTCCTGAAGGTGAAAGTATTGCAGCGATTGCGCATAGACCTCCAATTGGTACAACAATAACAAAATTAAAATTATTTACGCGTTTCTTCCATTTTAAATGAAAAATATTCTCATTTTTTTTTGTTTATCTTTTCTTCAAATTTAGAAAAAATTGCATCTCTTGGCCGTGTTCTCGGTGATCGTTCAGTATTATATAAATATCTTAATCCACATCTTGTTGCGATTGCCACATTATCAACATCAACTTCTACAGATTTGAATATATATCTTGTCGATGTAGTTAAAGGATCAATATTACATCATGCTATTCATGAGAATGTTGGATCTTCACATCCTGTACGAATTGCACAAATCGAAAATTCAGTTGTATATCATTTTTGGAGTGAAAATAATAATGAAAAAGGTTATGTAATAGTTGTTTATGAATTATATGAAAGTGAAAACAAAGATCAAAGATTTGAAAGGTATGTCATGAAAGACAAAATATATAATTTTGGATTAAACCGAATTACAAATTTAGTAATTAATTACATTTATACATATATCTTTCGCTTATTTTTATAGTTCAGTATTTTCTTCATTTGCACATGATCGTCCGTATGTTAGTGCTCAAGCATATATGTTCCCATATGGTGTAAACGCAATCGGAGTTACTACCACAAAGCATGGAATTGCAACAAGAGAATTTCTATGTAAGGGGAAAAAAAAAATTTAATTAATTGAAATATTTTGAATATTTAATTTAAATTATACGTTTTATGTTTTATAGTTGCCTTGGATACAGATCAAGTATTTGGTGTATCTAAAAGATTTCTTGATCCACGTCGACCTCAGCATGTGTTAACTAACGAGGATAAAGAAGAAATGCTTATTCCTTACGATCCGGCTATTCCAGATAATAAAAAATGGGTTTTAAGTTATCACCTATCGGTAAATTTAATATAAAATTTTTTAAAAAAACTTTTTTGGAAATATTTCTAATGTACAGTACGTCTCTCTCTCTCTTTTTTTAGGTTGCTGGTATTAGACATATAATAACATCACCAGCATTGCTCGAATCAACTTCTTTAGTGCTAGCATATGGATTAGACTTATGGTTTACAAGAGAAGCACCATCAAAAACATTTGATGTATTAAGTGAAGATTTTAGTAAAGGAACTTTATTAGCAACTATTTTAGGATTAATTTTGAGTATTCTTATTACAAAACCAATGGTATGTGAGATAAAACCTAATTTATATTTTATTTTAATTTTGAAATTTAATGCTATAATTCCTTTTTTTCTTCTTCTTCTTATAGGTAAGAAGAAAGAAATTAAATGCAAGATGGTACTAATTTTTCCATTAGAGTATATACCTGTTATCAAAGCGAATTGAATAAACAAAAGTTTTTTATATAACAATTTTTTTTTTTTATTGTAATAAAAATTATTTTTAAGTATCCCATTTTCATTATCAATTTTAATCTTGATCTCGTTTATTGAATTGCATAATTGCATTGAATTGCCAAACTCGTTTTAAATGTATAGCTATAGGCCCCAAAACTAAACTAGAACATTAAATTTCTCTATCTACAAATCAGGTACCCTTAGGGTAATTCTACCTTCATTTTTGACGTGTTGTTTTAATTTATTAAAAATAATACTATTTTTCCATTTATCAGGTATTGGTTTTTTATCAATAGTAAAATAATAAATGTCCCAATCAGGTGTATCTAATAATTCATCATATTCTTTTAATTCTTGCTCATTAAAAGTTTTTAAATATTTACTAGCAAAAGTGGATAATATTAAATCCGTTTCTAATATACCACGTTTACGAGATTGATAAAGTAAACGAGAACGTTTTTTTTCTATTGATTCATTTGGACGTGGTATTGGCGGTAAATTACTATAAGGTAATGAAGGATCAAAATTTGAATCATGAACAATTTTTTCAGTAGGTGAAGGAGAATTTGAACTTGAAGAGTTATTTGAGTTATTTCTTGAAAGAATAAAAGTTATTGGTTTAATTGGAGTTAATAGTTTGTTTGATATAATATTTTTGTTGTAATGAACAAATTGTAATGTAAAACGAATCATTTTTTTTTAGATCTAAAATCTAAATCATCTAACCCGAAAATAGAATTCTCATTTTATAATAAAAAAAATTACGTGTTACACAAACAGGCTGTGCGATTTACCCGCGTAAAAGTAAAATAGATCGTGTTTTTAAGTACATTTAATTTAAACATATAAATTATATAATGATTCTTTTTACTTGTATAATTTGAAATAATTTGAATAAATTGTATTATTTTAAAAAAAGATGGCTTCTTTACCATTACACGATACTGAAGTTGATTCAAGAAGACAAAGTAGTGTTGACAGAAATAGTGATCGAGAAGCATCTGAGGAACAAGAACGTCCTATTAATGATGTTAGGGAAGAAAGAGCTGGTTTATTAAGTGGTGTTTTAACTGATGAAGAATCACTAAAGAGCACACCAAATGAGGTAAAAATTCATCAATTTATTTTTTTAAAAAAATTGGTTAAAAAATAATGATATTTAACAAAAAAAATTTTTTTAAAAAAAGGCTCGTAGAATATTTCTTTTAAGAATGTGTTTGATTATATTATTGTTATCAATGTTAGCCGGAACCATCCTTTTAACATTATTTCCACGTAATAAAATACCATTTATACCACCATCGGGTGCATTATTCTCAAATGGAACCCATAAATTTCATAATACTGTTATAATAGTTTCATTTGATGGACTTAGGTCTGATTATTTAGATAGAAACGTCACTCCGACCATTAATGAATTCGGTAAGAATTTATCACGTAAACCTTTTTTTAAAAAAATTATTAAAAATACTTATTTTAAATTTATACATATATTAGTTCAAAAAGGAGTAAAAGCTGAACACATGATCCCATCTTTTCCAGTACGTTATTAATGATAATATTTGTTGGTTTTTTCAAGAAAAGATTGATAATATATTATTATTATATGTATATTAATAATATTTTTTTTTAAAAAAAATAGTCGATGACATTTCCAAATCATTATACCATAGTAACAGGATTATATCCGGAATCACATGGAATAGTAGCAAATGAATTTTATGATCCAGTATTAAAAGATAATTTTGTTTATACAAATCCAAATAAAAGTACTGATTCTAAATGGTGGAAAGGTGAACCAATATGGGTAACAACTGTCAAACAAAAACAAAAATCGGCAGTATCAATGTGGGTAGGGTCATCATCGGTAATAGAAGGACATACTCCAACATATTTACATTCATTCAATTCTAGTACAAACGTGGATGAAAAAGTTGATCATTTAATTGATTGGTTAGATATGGAATTAGAAGATAGACCAACATTTTTAGCAGGATATGTTAGTATAATTGATTCTGCGGGACATAGATTTGGACCTGATTCTCAAGAAGTTAATGAAGCTCTTAAAATTGCTGATGGATTTGTTAAAAATTTATTAAATAAAATTGAAGAAAGAAACTTAACTGACATTGTAAACATAATATTTGTAAGTATATATATTATTTTTTTTAAAAAAATAGTAATTTTTTTTTTTTTACTTATCGTTTTTTTTTTAATTTTGTTAACAGGTTAGCGACCATGGAATGGCACCAACAACACCATCAAACATAACTTTTTTAGATGATATATTTAACGTAACAAAAATATATCCAATAGAATTATTTCCGTTAGCTGGTATACGACCATATAATGATTCTGATATAGAAGGAATATTTAATTTACTTCAAAATGCAAGCGAAAATCAGCCATGGAAATGTTATTTAAGAGAAAACATTCCAGAAAGATTTCATTACAGGAACTCTGAAAGAATTGATCCAGTAATTTGTATACCACCTGTTGGTTGGTCATTAACCGATCATAGAGATTCCGCAAATCACACATTACCTAAAGGTGTTCATGGTTATGATAATCAAGAACCTACTATGAGATCAATATTTTTGGCTAATGGTCCTTATTTTAAGGATAAGAAGGGAATCGGAAAAGTTGTTAGCCCATTTATTGATATAGAAGTATATAATATAATGTGTAATATTTTAGGATTAAAACCTGCCCTTAATAATGGTACTGATGGTGGCATAATATAAAAGAATTTTCAATAGATTAACATTATTTAATTAATATATAAAGTTTTTATAATTTAATATTCGCTTTAAAAATTACAATTTTTAGAATTTAATTGTTTTAACAATGTAATAAAGTAGAAAATGCTAAAATTAGGAGCTCGTGACCCACGGCCACAAATTTTTCGTTTAAAAGTAAATCCTTAATTCGTGATCCGCCAGTGAACCATAAAATTTGACTATTAAAAGGCGGTGATAAGTTCATATATATTTTTATCAATAATTTAGAATCTGCGATCCCGGAGAAAAAATATGGGATAACTCGCCTTCTATTGGTCATAGAGACATAAAATCGTTACCATTAGATGCGTCTCGATGAGACGAATCCGATGAACCAAATTTTATTTTCCTACGACCACTAGATGATGAGTTATCTTTAAAATTTTAAAATACTAAATTTTTCTTTTTTTCAAATTCAAATTTTCAGCTCTTATGAAAGTGTCTTTTGGTGCTTAAAATTTTTACCGGTCTTTTATTATTAAGATAGCCAAATGGCATATTTTTATGCCTATAATATTAGTTTTCATATAATATTTTAGTAATTTGTACCTTGCATTGGCGGAACTGTAGATTCCGCGCTATTAGTAAATATATATATAACTTTCACCGGAATTTAATAGCCAAGTTTTATGGTTCACTGGCGGATCACGAATTAACTGTTCGGTTAATCACATGATCGACATCTAAAAAAAATTTTTTTTTTTTATATCGTGAAATAGATTATCAAGTTCCTTCGTTCATTTTTTTATTTTACAATGTTTAAACTTTCAAAAAAATTCAACAACCCTTCATTTTCGTTAATTAATCATATTAAGAGATTAACAAATAATTCTCAAGGTAAAAAATTTTATAAATAATTTTTTTTAATCAAAACTTTTCTAAAATAAATTTATTCTTTTTTTTTTCAAGCAAAGACATATGAACCTCCAAGATCAATTATAATTCCTAAACAATTTTCAACCCCGTTAATAAATAACAAAAATGTAATGGAAATAATAAATTATGAAAATCGAAATAAAGTTCCAGATGATAGATTTAAATTATTTGCTAAACATGGTAAAGATAGAATTAAACCTGGAGATGTATTATTAGTAGAAAGTTATACATCAATGGCATCAATTAAAAATCCTTCTTCCTCTATAAGTAAGAGTGGTACGTCAGCTTTTGCAGGAATTTGTATAAGTATTAGAAGAAGAGGTGTTGATACAAATTTTATTTTAAGGAATATTATATTAAAAGTTGGAGTAGAACAAAAATTTTTTATTAATTCACCTTTAATTAAATCAATTAAAATTTTATCAAGAGGTGAAGGTTATAGAAGAGCCAAATTATATTATTTAAGAGATCAACCTGGTAAAGCTTTTCAAATTAGTGATTTACTCAAAAGGGAAAGAGAAAGAAAGGAAATCAATTCTAAACAAAATATAATTAATAATAATGATAATACACCAGCTAGTTGAAAAAGAAAAATTCTTCATAAAGTAAAAATCAAAATTATTTAACCTTGATTAACAAACGATATTTTCTTATTATTTGGAATAATAGGATCAAGATTTTATTAAAATTTATTCTCATTTGTAATATTCTCTTTTGTAATTGATAGGATAGATGAGTAATATATACAATGAAGTATGTTGTTGACATCTGAATATCTGGAGTATTGAGAGATTAAAGAAACAAATTTTTTAAACAATTTCTAATTTACTTAAATCAAGTATAAACAAATTATTTAAATCTCAACTCTTCGTTACAAATTTGTTAATTAAACTGCGAAAAAAAAAAATGATTTCTCAATATTTCTTTAATAAACTACCTTTGCTTGCTTCTACTATAACGCGAACTTTGATAATAATAGAGTTATTGACACAAATTCAACTCTCATACCCTCGAAATGTACTTACTGCAATAGAACGTTTCTTGTTTTAAAGACGAATAGGATGAATAATTATTTAGAATTAAAATTATGCTCTTTTATAACATTATAATTTGTAATTCCCATTTCCCGCGCCTTGAGCCTTACCTCATTTCACAAGAATATTATTACTTCTACGAAATGATACACAATCTACGGTGATCAAAAACAGAAATACAGAAACAGAAATAACAGGAAATTATAGCGTCAAAAAAGCCGCTACGCACGGACAAATGATCTCATTGATCTTATGCGGATCATTACACAATAATAAAAAAAATTCGAAAATTTTTTATTATTGCGTTTATCTGTTTATCATGTTATCGATTATCCTTTATATCATTCAATTCGGGTTTCATTGGTTGTATCGTAATACAAATAAAAAACCATTTAAATATTTCCACTTTCTTAACTGATAATGAAGAGAAAAAAGTATTTTTATTTCTTGATAACAATTATATATCAAATAGACCAATGATCTACATTATCTTTTTTGTTTTTAGTCGCCCCCAACATAATCTAACGTAATCGATTGTGAATAAAAATTCCGTAATTTGCCGAAATCCGTGAATAAAAAATACATGATCTTCCATTCCGTGAGAACATTTTTTTTTTAAAAAAAAATATTATATACAAAAAGAAAAAAAAAAGCAAAAAAAAAAAAAAAAAAANAAAAAGAAAAAAAAAAGCAAAAAAAAAAAGAAAAAAGAATAAAAGAAATAAAAAGCTAATAACTTAATAATTTACATAAAGTCGCAAGAAAAAAAATAAAAAAATACACATGTATATATATATATTTCTTTTTTTTTAAAAAAAAACAAGAAGACCTCAAACACCACCACAAGAGCGAGTAACATCTTTTAGACCAATACCATTATTTTGCTTTTTCCATTCACTTCTTAAATTTTCAATATTACCATTTGAATGAGAGGATAAATCATACTGAAAACCTGTTCTTTGTACTTGAGATTTGGTAAAACTGTAAAGTGTTGCTCCCCCAACTATCGATGCCGTTAACCTTTAAAAATAATGAAAATAATGTTTATGTTATAAAAAAGTAAATAGGTAAATATGTTAAAATTTATTTAAATTATTTACCACATTGTAAAATTTTTTGAACCAAATCGCGAGATCGTATTTGATGCGTTCATTTTTATTATTACTATATTATTATTTTATTTTTATTTTTATTTTTTTTTTTGAGAAAAGGTACGAAAGCGAGGAGAGTTGAAAATGAAAGGGAAAACGATAAATGGAGTTATATCAATAAGATCGCTGGGAAATGATTCCATAAATAGTAAGTCGTTTTCTTTGTGAAAATTGCACACTACTAAACGTGACAGGCTAAAACCAAATCGATGCATTTCATTTCTGACCAAATATATCTAACAAAATAAGCTTTTTTTCTCACGGAATTGTTGCCAATTAAAATACGGGCTGAATCACCTGAATATAATATCACTGACAAGACTTAAATGCTTGCGCAAAATTATGAATTTATGACGACAAAAGCTACGTTTAGCACTCCATTTTCTTGGTATAAAAGTTTGACATAAATAGTAATTTCTCCATACAGTACTATACAGTTAGCCACTAGACATGAACCCTGTTGAAAATCAAGCATTTATTGAAATTCTTTGCAAATAGGGGGTTAAATTACGTTTTTTAATGGTTATTGTCTATATTATCTTATTATCTTAAAAATATAACTTAATTTAAATACCGTTTATCCAAAAAAATCTTAGTTCGATTTATCATAATATCACAAAAGTATCACAAATAATATCTGATATACTGTATATATATTCTTTTATTAGTATAAAATTGCTAGCGGTGATTTGCAGTTTTTTTATATGCAATTTTAGGAGAAAAAGAAAAAAAAAAAAGACAAAAAGGTTAGAAATGATTTTTACATATAATTTTTAATAAATTTTGAATTTTAGGATTTTATTCCAAAATTAAATGCTGACAAACACACATTATTTCAACTTTATTATATGTAAATTTACAAGAAAAATGAGATTTTCTTATGTTAAAGGGATGTTATTCAGGCAATTCTCAAGAAAAACATAAAAATTTGATTTTTATTAAGCAGAAAACTATGTAATAAGTAAATTACATTTTTCAAATTATCTAAATTTATAACAAGAGTTATTAACTTCAGCTAAAATTATAATTTAGTTAGAATTAAGTACTAATAACAATCACCCATAGTAATAATTACTACAGGTAAACTTTAACCTTTAAGTCTATTATAATATTTAGAAAAATTCTTTTATTTAATACAATTTTTGTATAAATATATCTTATTATAATAATAGATAATTTATTAAAAAAAAAGTATAAAAACTATAATTTTTAAATTAAAATCAATTTCAAATTATCTAAATAATTTAAATTCTATAAACTTTAAATAGCTTAATAAAAATTAATTAAGTTTAAAAACTATTGTACTAAACTACTAATATAATATAATTTTATTATATTAATATATATAACTTCTGGTATATTTAAATTCATATTTCTTTATCTTCTGATTATATATTAATATCCAGTTATCTTTATATTTATCAAATATTTTTTTATTAATATTTTCATAAAAGAAGATTGAACTTCTCTTCATCATTAAATTTACAGCCATTAAAATATACTGTAGTTCTATACTTTACAGAAATTTAACAATATAGAATTGATATCATTAAGTTTATCTTAACGGTATTATTTTGATATCATTTCAATATCATTTTAATATCAATTTAATATCAATGTGATATCAAAATAAAGTATTATCATTTTGATATCATTTTGATATTAAATTGATATCGAAATGATATCAAAATGATAATAGAAATGACATTGAAACAACATATTTAAGTTTAACTTAAAGATGTTATTTCAATATCATTTTAATTATCATTTCGATATCATTTTGATACTATTTCGATATCATTTTGATATTAAAATAATAATATTTTATTTTGATATCACATCGATATTAAATCAATATTGAATCAATATCAAAATAATATCAAAATAATATCGCTTGAAAACTTAAAGTTTCTGTAAAGTTGTTATTTTCCATTAAAATAAACTACCTGAAATTCTAATTCATGCAATTTATAAAAACATTAGTTAAAAATATAATCTTTTTTTTTTTTTTAAATTGCAGCACATTTATAAATTTATTAAAATAATTAAAGTAATATATAATAAAATTACTAACTATCTAATTAAACTAATATTATTAATTTATAAACCGCTCATCATATTATTAAAATACCCACGCATACACTGTCAAATGATCTATTATACTATACAGATAAACATATGTAAAATACGTTTTTTTAGCCAAAGGCCTTGTAGTCAATGCAAGGGTGATCATGGGACCTACTATATTGCGACTATGTTTTCATGTTTGTGAAGAACCTTTTATTAGAAGTGAATGGATATAGTTCCTGCATCGTGTCATAGATTCGCACAAAAATTCATTTTTATCCAATATTCTATGTGTTTGTTATGTGACAAGCTGTTGACAAATAACTCTTAACGGTGTTTATCTTATCTTTTTTAATGATGTCCAATTTAACTTTAAGTATATTTAATTCAAAGCATCGTGGATTCTATATGTACTATTAAGAATATAATCAAATACTGCCATATATATTGCTTGTATATTATTTAAAGAAAATTTAAACCTTATCCAAAAAAATTTGTACTTATTCTGGTAATGATTTATATTTGTAAGATTCTATTTTAGATAAATTGAAAATTTCAATTTTTAATATTTTAATTATAATATCAAACAGAGCAAATTGAAAGTTACAATTGCTTGTAAAAGTAATGCATTACCCCTATTATTAATCATTACAGTTAACTCTCTATAAATGCATCCTCTATAAATTCACACCCTCTATAAATGCACCTTTTATCTAGTTCTAACTTGGGCCTTAATGCTAAATGCACAGTTTTTATATATATGTATTCTGTAAATGCATTCTTTATAAAAAAATTTTATATAGTTTACTTATAAAATTTTTGTATTACATTAATTTTAGATTAATATCATATAGATTTATATGTATTCTATAAATGCACACCTTCTTTAAATGCATTCTTATATCTGGTTCTAAGGGGAATGCATTTATAAAGAGTTGACTATAATCACATAAATTAATATTAAAATTAAAGCTAATCAAAATAAAATCTATTTATTATATGATTTATCAAAATATAAAATTTTATATAAATTGATTGGTTAGTTCATTAGATACAGCATATTTATAAAGTAATGCATTACTTTAACAACTTTTTAATATTTTAAAAAATTAAGATTTTTACAATAATTATAGAGTATTACTAAAGTTCACCACCAGTGATGATTATCATCACCAATTTTGGCTAAAATTACACTTCAATCAAAATTAAAAATATTTAATTAATTTAACCAATAATATACATAAAGTGTAATCATATATCAAATTATAAACAAAAGAAAATAAATATAAAAATTTAAAGTTTTTATTTTAAAAATAATTTTATGAATTAACTGCATATTTATAAACCTAAATTAAAAACATTTGATTATCTAATTTCTACCCTAATAATTTTCTTTTTGAATTCATAACTATAATGCATATATACTTAGTTTAATAAATAGAAATTTCACATTGTAATTTATTTCTAGATTGTTTATTTAGCTCTTTATTCAATATACATAAAGATTAATTAATCAATTGCTATTTAAATTTAATAATTAATGTTTATTAAATAAGTTTTACTACTTACTTTTTTATATCTTGTCTATTTTTAATTTAATAGTAGTATTTTCTAATATATTCTTTACATGTTTCTTTAGAGCATCTTTTATATATGCCTAATGAAAATTGCTAATATTTGACAAATTTTCTTTAGATTCAATTATATGTTTCAGCTATTTATCACAAATTTCACTTTTTTTTTCTTATTCAGCTTTATAAAATTTTATTTATTTTGTTTCACATCTCAATTTAAAAGATAATTCTTTTTGTATAATCAAACCTCTCATTATACTTAGCTTTATGAGAAAGATTTTATTTCACAATTTCAAAAAATAGTTATATATGACAAATTTTATTTATTATATCAAAATTCATCAAAACTTGATGTTTATATATAAGTTTACTATCATCTGATAAGTATCTGATACATATTTTTTACTGTAAACTGTGATTGCAAGTTCTTCTTAAATGCTAGAAAAATATCACTATATCATTGATGAACTGAGATAAATCCAATATAAAATGTAATTATATATATTAAAATTAAATATCACTAAAAAGAAGTAGTAGTAAATTAGCCCTCTAGTTACAAACTATATATATATATACAGATAATTAGTATTATTATATAATATTATAAAATATTCTTTATTTCATAATATTCAAACTTCATGAATAATAATATGATCAAGATATAAAAATAAGAAATGTAAGTTTGACAATTTTAATTTATAATCATTTTTAGCAAATTTAACTTTATTATTTTTTTTATCAAATTTTTTATCTTTATTATTAAATTGCTCTTATTTTTATTCTTTATTATCATATGATCATTCAAATTCATTATCATCATATTGTTTTTATTTATTATCATCATATCCTTCCTATTCTTCTTTATTATTAGATTGTTTTTATTCTTCTTTAACAAATTATTTCTATTTATTATTATTATATCATGGGTTGATCACCCTTGGCTCATTGGTTAGTCTGTGAGTCCCCTCGTGAAGCCTGAGTATGGTGAGGTCGCAGGTTCGATTTCGCTGATCACAGAAATTAAAAGAATTTTACTGCAGACACTACTACCAATAGTGTGAAGGTACAGGGATTAGTGTAGGTTGCACTGGTCGAAATCAAAAAAATCGGACATATGGAAAATCGGCCAAAAATCAGACCAAAATTGACTAACATTATAAATCGGCACATCTGATTGATGCCAATCAGACAATTTGATAAAAATTCAGCAAAAAATCATTATATTTGATTGACGGCTGATTGATGCTAGTTGAAATCAAAAAAAAAATAGACAAATGGCAAATCAACCTAAAATTTGCCCAATATTCAAATATGCACTTCAGATTTATGGAAAATTGACAATTCAATAAATATTCAATAAAAATTCAATAAAAATTCAGCAAAAAATCATTATATTTGATTGACGGCTGATTGATGCTGGTTGAAATTAAAAAAAAAAA